AATGGTTCTCTACCATTACTCTTCAAACACACACATTAAAATACTGTTTAATTATTTCCTTGTCAAAGTGTCATAAAAACTTGAAGTACAAGGATGCCAGGCATTCAAGTAATAACATTTTCAACACAAATCCCAAGTGGGAAAACACTTGCAGGGATATGCTGGGGACCTTTCTTGTGCACAAACTTTGGCTCTCTGCATTTAATCCTGTGTTTATAATCGATGTCATTTTTCTCTTATTCTTCAAAAATATAGAGGCCAAACTTTATTAATACAACCAACTGGTGGTCTTCTTTCCCCTTCACATTCAAACCTCATAGAAATTTTGAATACATAAAGAATACTGAATCAGGTCCTTGATTAGTGTTTGATTTATACCACAAAGACCACAGGATTCAGAGGTTGCTAAGGCAACACCACTTCAACTTCCTAACATTTCTGCTTTGATATGAAACCTCTCATTATATAAATATATCACAACACCAGTCAGCATGACAGGCTATTTTACAAATATACCTTCAGATAGCAGACAGCCATATTCTTCTCTTGGGAAAGGGGGAAAGAATAAGATTACTTTTTACTAAGGGGAAGAGTGGAGAGGCAAAAATGGCATTCCAAACTATATAGGCTTTAGCATGAAACTGTATCCTGAGCCCTCTAATACCGCCAATAAACTTTGTATTATTTGGCCAGAAATCCACAAAAGGACAGAAAGCAAACAAAACAAAACACCCCAAACAAATTACACAAGTAGAGTCTGTCACTGAGTTGCTAGAATTTTGAGTAATTGAAACTAACAACTGTGTATAAAAGCTACACTGCTGAAACTAAACTATTAAAAATCTGATACTCCAGCATATGTTATTTAGAGCTACAGACCAGGCAAAGTTTAGTAAAGCATGAAAGACCTATCAGGAACCTACTGACACTTTTTTAACTCCATTAACATTTTGAGGTTTAAAGTGGTACTTGCCAATATACCATTAGCTTTCTTTACTAAGCAGCATTCAATATATAGTAGCCTACCTAGAGTTACGTTCCAGGACTCTTTGGTAAAGTCAGCCTCCTGCAGGAGGAGGATTCTGTTAAAGATGGTTAATTCTTTGCCTTCTTAGTCTTCTAGACTACACTGTTTGAGGAGACCACAAGCTGATCGAAAATGCACAATGCATGGCTGGCAGTCTGGGTTAGCAACAGGATGGCAGTAGTTTCAGGTGCATCCCTCCAAACCCTTCCTTGTGCCCTAGCACCCTCTGTGAGGCCATGAGGCTTTCCAGACACTAAAAATCAGCTAATTCTACATCACCTGGAGACACTTTGGTGTGGGAAAAAATATGGAAATTGGAATGTTCTGGACTCTTTCCTTTTTTTCTTTTTTGTGTGGTTTTGGTGTGTTGTTTTTTTTTTTTACTTCCTTCACTTCCATTTCTAGCTTGCAATTTCCAGTTACACTTTTCTCTCTGTGACATACTGACTACTCTCAGCAGTAGACAAATCTTCAGGTGTGTCACAAGAGGAAGAGGAGAAAAAATACCACCAAGGGGCACATACAGTATAAGCAAAGCCATTGTACCTCATCTCTCAGTTATGTCAGATCCAGGTCAGCGACAACTGCACCCAGTTTGCAATGACATAATAACACCACCTACAAATATTTCTGGTTGAATGTACCAGCAGCTCCCCAGTTAGAGAAGAGTGGCCATTGGTATGGCTTCTACAACAATTAACCCATCAATTAGTCCCACAATTAACTGTGAAGAATGTCACTGGAAAACACCCAACACCCCAGGTTCCTTTATGGATTATGCCATCTGCTATGCCCATACTGACAATTGTTCAGGGCATGGCCTATTCTGGACCACCCAACTGCATCCAAAGCCTTGCTGTACTGTCTGTAGAACCAGCTTAACTTCACAGCCAACGTCTGCAGTAATACCAAAAAATGAGAGTGGTGTCAGACTGTAGGCATGCACAGAATTCCCAGTTTCACTAGGTAATGGAGTAAAGTACATTTACGCTGCTCTTTACTTCCCCACCATCACGTTGCTCCTCTTATCCTAAAGCGTTTGGGTGATTAGTCAAATGACCAGCTAGTGGCTGTTCCAAACCCTTCAGGCTGCTCTTTCCTATCATCTTTCTGTTTTGCATGTTGGAGACTCTGAACAGGGCTAATTTTATACATAAAGTTCAAGTCCCTGGAATTTAAAATAAACAGCCTACCACAGTGGGGTGGGGAAGCTTCTGAGGGACAGAGCTTATGTAGGACAGCTAGAAGACTGACATCAGAATGAGGTATCACACAGCAATCTAGTCAGCCCTGAGGGTTATTTTGCATAAGACTACACAAATTCTTCACAAAGCTGAGGACGTAAGATCAGAGCTACTTGCTTATCAACTTTCACCAGCACTAAAACTCACATAACTAACCTCAGGAGACAGACAATATGTTATTCTGAGCAATATTGCTGAAAGCAGTTCAATAAAATCCATTACTTGCTCAAGGGATTTTTAAGACATACATTTACTTAATTATTGTCAGATATGCAGCTCAACAAAAAGGAAAATTGATTTCTGGATAAACAGAATAACTGATGCTAAAATGTTGTATGAAAAGACAAATTGTGAATTAAAGCATTTTAATGCTCATTTTAGTGAAATCCTAGGAATATTCAAGAAGCACTTGCAATCAAAAACTGTACACATCGTCATATGCCCATCAATGACATAATACAGAAACTTCTCCAGTCTTCATCTACTTAAACATTGCTCATCAGAATGCATTCCTTCTTGCCCAGATGTATTTTGTACTGATTAATGTAATAAAATGATGATGCTGTTTGCATCAGCAATGTTAGAAGAAACTGACATCAGCTTGAAAAGTCAAGTCAGTCTTAATTTTTGGGACCCACTGCTGTTATGTCATCTGCTCACTGATACCTCTTGCACCCCGAACTGGCCCTCAATATCCAGAAAGCAAAGTAACCCCAGACCTATCCCTGTAGAGAATCACGGAAGTGAGTTAACTTGTTTCTGAACAGGCTCATTTCTGTAGTGTTCAAGAAATTCCTAGCAATGCCTAAAGCAACACACCTAGTGATCATAATCTGTTGTTTCCTCTGGGAGAGGAACTTGTGCCATTCAGTACTTTGCTCTGCTAGGGAGCTTTGGGCTGGTTTGTGGTAGATTTCTTTGTTTTCAGGCTTTTGTGAGGAGGATGAAAACAGTTATATTTTAGGATTTGGGGTTTCTCAGTGCTTCATCAGAGGCAGCATAAGAATCAAGAAAAAAGTCACGCTGCCCATAAAAAGTGTGGTTGGGATCTGCAGAGGTGCTTGGTTCTTGGGAGAAAGTGCACACAAACTCCTTTCTCCCAGAGTTCTCTCCCACAAAACTGGCTAGGAAAAATCTGCATTTCCAGCATCAGTCTACTTATATAAGTACATAAAATAAAGGCAGGCATCTACTCCCCACCCTGACTGGAAGCACCATAGAGCAGCAAAGTGGAGTATCAGTAAGTTACACTCAATAAGCCACTTACAATATACATGCTCAAAGCCATTCACTGTGCTACACCTCTTCCCTCTCAGTCCCTTCCATAGCATACATAACACAAAAGATGGCAGTTGTAGTATTAGTTCTTCTATGCTTTCTCACTACTCTTTTCTCAAACTCTCACTCCTCCACAGGTAGGTGAGCTGTTATACTGCTCCCTGTGCACGCATATACATATATAGGCCTTCCACTCTAACATGAGGAAGGAAAGCCCCACATGAAAGGATAATGACCCATCCATGCTTTGTGAAAACATAGTAAATGCAAAGCCCTTGTACCCACAGAGTGGCTATGTATGTCTTGGCAATGCAAAAGTTAAATATACTTCCCAAAACAATACAGACAGGGTTAAGTAAGACCTCACCATAAAAACACCAGCATCCATCATAAATTGTGTGTGTGTGTATGTACATACATATATACATATATGAGACAAGAGTGATGGTGAATTGAAAAATGTGGGATCTGAGCATGATATGAATGATATGGAACAAGGGGTGGATACTGTCCTGGGTTCAGCAGTATCAGCCATTTTTCTCCTGTGTTCCAGTGCTGTGTTTTTCACTTTCACCCAGGGAACAACGCTAATATCGCCGATGTTTTTAGTTGTTGATAAGTAATGTTTGCTCCCATCAAGGACATTTTGAGTCTCATGCTCTGCCAGGGAGGAGGGGAAGCCAGGAGGAAGCAGAGAAGAAAAAAGCAATTCCTGTGAATACACATCTATGTTCTAGATTAAATTTCTAATAGCAAATCCTAGGAAAAAACAAGTGCAGAACACCAAAGCTGCTACAGAGAGGAGCAAACAATGAGTTAAATTCAATTACTCACAGAATAGTTTATTCGGTAAAACATAGTACCATAGTGTCTACTGGTTTCTTAATTAAGTCTTAACTACTGATTCCCTACTAGTAACTTCAAAATTTTACTGCTGCTTTTTCCAAAACATTTATGATTTTCTACCAGGTTGGCAAAGAGTTGCCAAAACATTCAAATAAGTTTTTCCCATTGTATTCTTGTTATCACTTATGGGTTATTTAACATCAGAAATGTATTTTTAAGCACTTCATCACTTGCAGTATCATAGATTATCATAGATAATTAAAGACAAGTTCCAAGGACAACCTTAAGTATCTGAAACAAGTAATGAATAATCTGTCCAGATGAGAGCCTGCAAACAGTTTGTCTTCGCTCATTCTGCCAACTGCTACCAGCTTTGATAGTAAGATGAATACTTGTAAATGTCTTAATCTTTTACATTAAGAAAAAATATTAATTAGCCTTTTCTGAACAGACAACAAACTTCAATCTTACCAACACGTATTTAAGGGTTAAATCCCGAATCTACTGATAGGTTGATGGTGAGCAAAGCCAAGGGCTATTCTACACTCTTATCTGGCACACAGATAAATTAGTAAGCTACAGATAACACTGCATATGACACTCACCTGGTGTAGCTTCTGCCAAAACTCAGGTCCATCTTCCATTTTTCTTAAGCTCGGTGGAATGTACCAAAAGCAAACGTTTGCATACTCAGGCTAAACAAGAGAACAAAGGATTGCTTATGAGATATGACAAATTGTACAGGAATACATATTATAGCTCATCAAAGAGTTCCGCTTTGTTTTGGAGGGGAAGAAGGAGGGGAGAACCTTAGAGCTTGTATTCTTTTCATTAAAACTTTCTTTTCCAATTCAACTTCGTTTTCCCTTTTGAAAACTATAAGTAGTTCTATAAATATTATGGTTTTCATACCATCCATTTCTTTTCCTGGTGCCAGAAAAAGGAAATCTTTTGGGGTTCCTTTTTCGTTTCTTCTTCCTATGTATATATTTCATTTTTTGTTCACTACACTTTTTTCCTAACCAAAGCTTTAAGAGAGGCATAGAGAGGTAACTTACAGATTTCAAAATTGGAGCAACAAGACAAGAAAACATTTTCTTTTTTAGGTTTTTTGTTTCTTGGGTTTTGGGATGGGTTTTTTGTGGGTTTTTTTTTTGGTTGTTGTTTGGTTTGGTTTTGGTTGGTTGGGTTTGTTTGGGTTTTTTTTCAAATTAAGTTTCCTTTGATACATTTTACATAAAACCAATTTTTGTCACCATTTAACACTTGCACAATTAGTAATTTTTCTACTGAACAATGCCAACCTCCTTTTATATCACATCTCATGCAGCATACTACACAGTGATGGAATTAATGCCGGCTTTCTCAATTTCCACATTTTATAAGAATCTCAGGACCCTTGCAGCATATGTACCATAGCTTGGATATATGTATTCCAATATTTAAATAGACCTTTTGAGCAAAGACTAAGATTCCACATCTCTGCTTCCCTCCAGAGAAATTCAGCCTTTAAATTTTGCCAGGGTCTCTGTATTTCCTGCTAATTTCGAACCCCTTTAAAAAAAAAAAAAAAAAAAAAAAACACAAACAAACCAAAAACTGTACAGATAGCAATAACATGAGGAATACATGTGCCTCCTAATCCCACTCAACACCACCTATAAAACCACTCAGCAAATCTTGACCTACATTATTTGCAACACAATATTTAACTGCAGTCTAGATTATAATATGGATTATGAACTCACACACCCTTCTCTTCTCCCACATGACATCCTCATCAGTACTGCTTGAAAGAAAGAAAGTTAAAGAGTAGCTCGGTCGCACCATCTCTTTGCCTCGCCACGAATACACCTGCTATTATAACCCCAGGCAACCTCCTGAACAAGGAGAGCTCACCAGCTAAGACACATTATTTCATGAAAGGGCACTGGGAACTGATCATATCATTTTCTGCTTTGCTTCAAAGAAGGCATTAAATACAATTTAATCATCAAAAAGAATAGCACTGTCAGCAGGAACAGAGCTGTAAACCTGCCACATACTGCCACTGAATGAAATAAAGGTCAGCTTTTTAAGTCCCATTTCTTTCCCCTAAAGAGCATGCATTGAGTACACACATAAACACAGATCCTGAAAAGGCAGCAGCCTCCTCATGAGCAAAAGCACTAGCTTGCCATTATAGGGTTTATTTTAAAACTATTTAAAATCAGATGGCAGGAGTAGACAGATGGCATATATTACCATATTGCCATTGCCTATATTACCTTTTTTATTATGTCAGTTTCCTTTCACACATCAAATATACCATCCCCCTATGAATATATCATTCATCCTAGAAAAACTTAACTACCCCTGCCCATGCTTCACTCTATTTCTGGTTATCTTGTCACAGCTCTTATCAAAGCAGGTAAGCAATTATACCACAGAATAGTTCAAGATAATGTAAGCATGGATAGTATTTCCAGGCCACAGAACGGTTCCCATTACTGGACTTTCCTCACTGCATGTATCACAGGATCATATTCCTGAGCTTCTTGCCTGAAGTCCAATTTCCACTAAGGAAGGGCTCGCATAACTGGGCCTAGCAACCTCCCAGCAGTCTTTCTTTGAATTGTCACTTCCTGTTGCCCTGCACTCCTGAAAACTTTTCCTTAACCCTAGCTTAACTTCCTTCTCATAACCCATACTACGTAGCCCATACTATAGCACTCCTTCCAATCCCTCTTTTAATCCAAGTGTCCTATTCCTGCAGGAACTAAAAAGCAGTCTCCGCTCTCACTAGCATCTACAATAGGTCTGGGCTCTCTGCTACGCTATACAATAGCAGAAAATGGAGAACTTTTAAACAGACTCACTACTTTAGTAATTCTATCATGTGCTGCTGGCCCAAAATTCTTCACTCCACGTAAAGTTTCCCATGCACTTTCAAATTAGCAGTTTTCTAAGTTAAAGGGAAAAGTTTATATTGCATGAACAGTATAAAATATGGTTTGTATCTTGTATTTCTCCTAGCCCAACCTGGAATGCTCTTGGCATTAGCAAGTGTAAATCAAATCTGCATCATTATGGTTTGTCTGTCTGTATGAGTGGCACTTCCTCATTTTCCATTCCTCCTCCATGTGCTTTCTTCCTACCCATGCTACATACACAGTTTTCACACAAATACACTTCCAACAGTGCAGAAGTTTTTTCTAGAAATGACAGATCTTTGCAACATCCCAGATATTAGCCTTATTAACCAAAGAGCTGAGGATAGGTGGAAAAATAGCACTTTAGTAATGCCCCCCTTACTCTTCCCCAGAAAGATCGCCAACAAGTAATAAGCCGACTGGTTTAGCAAAGATGAGTGAAAACCCTAACTTTTGGGTAGTTTTTAGGAAGATGGGTGCAGAAACAGAGTTAAGGAAAAGACATGGACTTTAATGATAAAAAAATCCATTTTTAGGATCAAAATATTTTTCCATCCAACACACAGTCTTATCTGTCAAGTCTGGCAAGCACTGCATTTTTGCAGCTAGGCTCTGTTTTCAGAGAAAAGTGCTCCATCTATACCTCCTGAGGCAACACAGGCTCAGAAGCTAGGAAAATAAACAGAGTAATGGTAGGGAATGCAGAGCCTGTTATGTGTGCTCTATCATATCTGTGTATCTCCAATACGTAAAATTATTATATACTTTAAATACAAACTGGCAATTGCTAAAAAGAACAAAATCAAACAATAGACACCTCCCCCCAAAAAAAAAAAAAACCTACAATTCAATTCCATTTTAATTTACCTCCAAAAGAAGCTCGAATCCCTCTCTTTTCTTAATTTCCTCAACTAGATACCTGCAATTAAAATGCAGCAGTTTAAAGCACAGAACAAAAGAGAACAAAACAATATATACAGACAACAAAGGTCTTGAACTTTCTTCTTTCTCCTCCAAAAGAAACCACAGTTACATCTGATTTCCACCTGCTGTGAAAATGTAGCAGCTATTAGTTCCTGGAAACAAATGAGGGCCATAGCCAGCCAAGGAGCACTGAGGAGAGGCCAAATTCTGTCCTCAGGCACAGACTTTCAGTGGAGCCACATGGCACAAATTGATCCTATTTGCATCAGACTGTGAACTTTCCCAGCACACATTTCCATTGATGTTGCTCTCTACAAATTAATTCCTCCATTTCTTTCTCAAGTACTAATGCTGTGCTGCCATGTTATTTCATGGTCACGCTGACATCTCTTGCACTACTACTGTTAGAAGAACCTCTCAATCTAGCCCAGAATTTGAGTTCCACATACTTCAAACCCAGCAATTTTCTCAGAACTGTTCTTGTTCCACACTGTACACAGAAGTGCACGTTTCCATTCAGTGACTACTGCTGATGCACAATAATCCCTGAGCATTCTATTCTAACAATTCATTGAAATAAATATTTCTTTTCTCTTTCACCTGTCAGTATGAAAAACACAGAAGCCTTCAATGGGAAAATAGGTTTGAATCAAAAGTTTGAATCCAAACAGCTTCAATTTATAACTTCTTTAAAAAACATTACTTCAACTTTGCCTTGGCACACATCACAGAGGAATTCTGAAGCAAAGAGGGCACTTTGACATAGCTGGGACTTCTCTCTTTATTCCCCTCCTGCCCTGCCCCCAAAGCCTTCCCAAGAAAAAACTCCAAAGGTATCCCCTCAAATTTACACAGCTTTGCCATTTCAACAGAATTTTAGTCCTCTACATGAAGGACTAACTGCCTGAGATCTAAATGAAGATTTTGCTGTCTGAACAGTAACAAAACTGAGACAAATTGTATACAAATCCGGTATTTTGTAGCATTTATTGGATTTTTTTCCTCCCTGCAGCTGTGTTACTGGTCATTACACAAATAATCATTTTGTCCACCACCTGAGGAAGAAGAACATGGTCAAAATAACCTCCCTCAGTACTATCTACATTCCTGAAAACAGACCCCACAAGGACACTCTAGTTGTATCTGCAACAAATGCCTGCTATTCAGTAGACAGGCTGCAGAAACAAGCTGGCTAGGGAGGCAGTGAACAATGCCCTAGACGAGAAAGTTTTCAGAACAGAGCATGGGGAGTTGTCACGCTGTTTATCATTAACAGGTATTGCGCATGTGACTCATTACCTCTTAGCACACATCTCTACAAAATGATTGCTGTGATAGAGTGCCAGTTCCCACGACACACAGCTCTGAGTTGTGCCACACTATGCACTGTTGAGATATTTCCTCTCACTAGAACAAGTTCTACTGAGACCTAGACTAGACCCAGATTCTGGATCTTTTCTGCCATGACCATTTAGATCCTACTGTGTGCATTTGCTTGTTATCTGGCTGTTAATGCCCACACTAATGTTCAGGTTGCAACAGAGGCATGCTGAAAGGTGAGGAGGAGGCTAGATACCATGTGAGAGTGTTGTGGGGAACATTTTTCTGTAGGGGGATTGTCTTAAATAAAACACACTCAGTGCTTTTGTCCTGTTGATTACAAGATGTACCATAAGACCAGCATTCAGCAAAATCAGCAGAATATTCACAAGACAATGGCCCTCAATTTTTTATTTTTTTAAATCCTGTAAAAGAAAGCTATGTATGATCACCCCTTCTTATTTTTCTTTTTGAGGTCTTTAATTGTTAGAGAGATTTTACAATACTTAATACCCTCCTCTCTTACTAGAAGTGCCTTTTTTTAATACCACCATTTGACATAGGATATCTGCTGTCAGTCAAGCTCACAATGCTGTTTATCATGTTCTTAACTACATTGCCAATAGCCTAAGAAGGCAGCCATTAGAAAATCCATTGCCCATGATTTATCTTGCTAGAGCCACTGAACCGCAGTGGAGCAGTTTACCTTGCGCATCTTTCCACACTTGACAGGGGAGTTTTACTATTGTGTCACTGTTGTAGAACATAAAAAAGGACTTGAGTCTCAGTGAGGACTGGAATGCACAGAGAAGTAGTATTTGCTATGATTAAGCCTTGCAGAAAATGAGGGGTGGAGATCTGCTGTGAAAGTAGACATATGTCTGCTGAGAGTGGGTGTCAGAAGAGGAATCAGGCAGAAAAACTGCGAAGATGATGAAGCATAAAATGCAGTGGTTGTTACAGTTGTATTCTAAATGTATTACATCTATTTTTATTTTTTTCAAGTACTTCACAAAACAACATCCCTGCATCAAAAATAACAGAGGGGGAAAAAAAAGGAAAGAAAAAGAAAATTTGTGAACTGATCAGAAACACGCTCTACTGTAGGATTTCTAAAATAAGCCTTTCCAAATAGGTAGCATCATAATGTTCCTGGCATATATAATACACTGAAAACATAATTCATCTCCAGAACAAGAAGAAATTCATGGAATAGCCAATCGCTAAAAAGTTTGCTGCAACAGGAATACATGACTTCAGTTAGCTTTAAAACCTTGGCAGCTTTCACTGATGATGGGGAAAGAAAAGTAATCTTGCTCTTAAATTCCATAGCCAGTGGACTAGTTACAGAATTAATTCAGGTATGCATTCAGGAACACTGAAATATTATCTTTGGAACATCTAAGTCACACCTACTGTAACAAATCAGGAGAAAGTCTGCACAGCTGCTGAGTAGTTACGAAACCTGGCAAAGTGCCCGTGCCCATGCAGACTCAAGATAGCAATGCAGATACTGTAAAGAATATATTTCATCAGACAATGGCAAAAATTAATTTTCTTTTTCTTAAGGGAGAGAAGAAAAAATAAGAAGAAGAAAAAAAAAAAAGAGACAACCCGGTCACTCCTTAGAAGTGCTACCAGCAGAATCCAGCGTTCAAAGGGAATATTGATCCCAGAAAGGTCATTAATCACTACACTTTCAAATGACCTTGGCCAGTGACCTTGATAAGACTGAATTCTCCTACTGACATAGCAATGAATTACTTACTCTGTACACACACAGAACAGTACAATGCTTTGGAACAAAACCAAGATGCAATTTAACCAGAAGATATAAAGGAACATTTAACTGGCCAAATAATGAGTGTTTTAAAGAAATAAAGTAGAGAAAAAAGCCACAGCTCATTTGAGTTTTTCTGGTTTTCCTGCCTTCCTTTTTATTCCTTTCCAATTCACTCTGGGTTTAGGTTTAGGTATGTTTACCTGTTCTTTAAGTGACCTTATTAAAGTGAGGTTATTCCTTCAATTTTCACTATAGTAAACATTCAATTATTTTCAACTTGGTAGTTCATACAAAAAAAAATAAAATGGCAATATGTTACAGGTGACTGTTTTGCAATATTAATTATTTGATTCATGGTAGTAGTTGGCCCAGGAACTGGTAAAGATTTCACTGTGGTTTCTTTTGTATAAATTCTGAACATATATGATACTTCAAGTGAATTGTTTTTAATGGGCTGTTGTCTTATTTTGATATTATTTCTTCTCTGAGAAGATAAAGCAACCTGTGTATAGAAGTTTCTCACCAGAAACTGAGACATCACTATCAGTTTAGAAACACCGTCTAGCAAGAATTTTGCAGAACTCAGCTGTGAAACTCCGATCTGCAAGACCAAAAACTGAGTAAAATTTAACAGGGCAGGTGAGGAGAAGATCATAAGAAAAAGGTGCTTCAACCCCTAACAGAACATACTGTAAACATTAAGAAATACTGCAAACTTGTGGAGAAAAAGAACAAGCAGTATCTCAGAACAATATGCCTTCACATGCCTCTACTACATTCTAACATTAACAGGATGTCCTCATACAAATTTTCCCCACACCATCAGCTTTCTGCATTTCCTCAGTCATGAGGAATCCAGTAAACAGAAGAACAGCTAATTCACTTCTTGCTAGACACAGCTCAGAGCCTGGCATATAGGACTGCTTTTACATTAACACCAGAAGACACAGTTACGAGTTAGAAGAGGATATATGATAAACCTGTTCTATGTCTGGTTCAGACAACATAAATATTAAATAACGTAGATTGATAGCATAATTTTGACTTCTATGTTTACCAATATACTTGCTGCTAAAAGTAATCATTACTATTAAATATTGTAGCAAATATAACAAGACTAATTACTATTGCTGTTAGTTCCTCCTATTGTACACAAAAAAAAAGGAAAAGGGGGGGAAGGTGGGGGGAAGTAACAACATGGTCTGTTCCAAGATATGGAGTATCAGTAATGTCAACATTTTGGTCAATTACACAGACTAGACATATTCAAAATTGTGTGGTGGTACCTAGCCAAAGCCAGTGCTCTGTTTACTCTCTCCTCGAGGCCTGTGGTTCCCAATGCTTTCCACATCAGCCAGAATTTGAACGCATCTGGACGTCTGCTGCACTGAATGGACTTGTCACCAGTGTCATAGCTGACATCGTAGAACTTGTCCTTTTGGAACAGGTAGGCGGCCTCGGCAGAGTAACACTTCTTCAGCAGGCCCTATTAAGAACACAACAGAGACATAGATTGCCGATGATCATTTCCAAGCCTTTGTAACTTCACATGTCAAAGCTTTTTCTTCCTGTCTGTACCAACAGCTTAGTAAAACAGAACTGGATGTGCAGGAAACCATCCAAAGCTAATGATGTTCAGATGAACCCAGTGAAGTCAGCTCTGAAAACAAAGAAGCATCTCTCTTTTTATTATTTTCTTCATAATGTCACTGAAGAGCTGCAGGTTGAAGAGGAATCCTTACTCCCATCTCAAGAAACCGTGGGAGTAGGTACCAGAGAAACAGGTGCCCAAAGACGTACAAGAGAAAATGCATAGCATCGGCCAGTAGCAAAAGAATGAAATATCAATGTATACTCTGTAATATTATGAAGTAGAGAGAAGCGCTGCAGAATGCAGGTTATAACAGCAGAGATGAGGGTGACCTACAAAGATCTCAGGGAACAGAAAAGATGGGAAATTTGTCAGCAATATTAGAAGAGGGTAAGAAAAATAAACCACAATCAGTAAGATAATGCTAGGATAGATATTCAGATGAGGTTAAAAACATGACTACAACATCTAATTCAGATCTGCAAACATGTATTTAAGTGACAGTTGAACCAGAAGTCTTTGATGCAGAACAGACCTATGATATAAGTGGACAGCATGACAAACTGCTAAACAGTAGCCCAAAGAGCACAACTCATTTTCCAATTCAACATCACTCTTCAAACTGAAACAACTGAAAAAGCACTGCATATTCCATCCTTTCCTCTGCATGTGTTGTGACTCTGATTTTAAAATGACAGTGTCTGACATCACTCTTGAAGTGTCACATTCCTGTAACAGAGGTACAGTTTTTGATCTGCATTACAGTACATGACTGGTAACTTTGGAACTGGCAGTAAAACAGAGAAAAAAGATGAAGACAAAACAATCCATGGGATAAATAATCCACTGGCATGCACAGAGTAAGTCTCCCTCTCTCCCAGCTTTTTCAATTCCTTATACCAATACTAAAAACAAAGCAAAAAGAAAAACCCACCTACATAAAAGGAGAACACCAAAGGTTTTTCCACAACTTCTGTAGGGGTTTGAAGATCTCACTGCATTATTGCTGGTTTTTGAAAAGGACAGGATTCAGCCTGAACTCTTTAGCACAGGACCAGCACATTCAGCCTTGTGAAAAAAAAAACTTATGTGACAGCTTGGGGGGCAGTGCTGCTCTCCCTCTGCAGCCATCAGTGATAATGTACTGCTGCAGCACGCAGTAACCATAACTAAAAGCCAATGTTGGATGCAGCTTTTTGTGGTATATAAGATTCTCACACGTACTTCCCAACTTTCTCAGAAAAAGGCAGGCTAGAAGGTGATATTAGAAACCAAAGAAAAGTCAAGCACTTGATCTACACGGTTCACCTACTTTTTGGTTTTTCAGCTCTGTGTTCTTTGGCTAGCAGCTGCAAAACAGGAATAGGAATCTCTTTATCAAGCTATTATGTTCTATTCATTTAGATCTCCATGCCCTGACTTTAAGGAGAAATATAAGCTTACTAGACACTGTATTAAAATATACATATAACAAAACAAAGGCAACAACATCCACAAACCTAAGTTAATTGCTTCAAATCTTACTAGAATTTTGCAGTGTTTCTGCAGTGAGTGGATAGGAGGGCTGATCAATGTGAAACTATCTTCTAACTTATCAAAATGTAATACAGAGCTGCACAACAGAGGACATCATTGGATATTTGTTCCCATCACACCCATCATCTGAGAAATAATAACTTCTGTTTGTCACAAAAACCCTAAACTCTGTTGGTAATATTACAGAAAGACTGAGTTTACTTAAGATCACAGTACAGCTGCAGAGTTTCATAGTTTAAAAACAAATGCTCTAGAGTGAATACTCAACAAGAGCAAATAGTTCAATATCTCTGAGTGAACTCAAATGCCTGGCAACTTTTAAAAAAAAAAAAAAAAAAAGGTAGATACTGTCCTACTCTCCTGGTGCTTTTGAAGCTGACATGATGCACTGGCTTGATGGTCTTCTCCCACCTGCTTATATTACTAATAATGAAACATGCTCAGGAACTCCTGCTGCAGATATCTCCTATTGTCAGTCTCCAGAAGCAAGTACAATGACATCCTCCAGCATATCACTAGAGCAGACAGGAGAAGAAATAAAAATCATGCTTTGTGAGAAAGAGAAAAAAGAGAGGAAGAGGGAGGAAGAAGGAGGGAAGGAATGGGGACAAATGGGGGGGGAAAGAGGGGGGAAGGGGAAGGAGGTGCCAGACCAATGCAAGAAGCAAGATGGAGGAGAAAGGGAATGATGCAGAATAGGGTCTGGTCAGGGAGGACAAAAAAGAGGAAAAAATCCAAAATAAGCAAATGACAGAAAAGCAGAAGAAAAGAAAATGCTTTCAAACTCAACATTCTCAGTCCCAAGAAGATCCCAACAGTTTTCCACATAGTAATCGAACTCCTCCTGTTCAAAGGAATTGTAAAAATGTCATTAGAATTGCCCCATCTGACAAGTTTGAAATTTTCTTCAGCATATTTTATTCTTTTTCTGCCTTTTGTACAGAGACTAATAATCGTACTCTGCCTTACATCAGGGCTCTTAAAGTTTAGAATATGGAAATACTATTTTTATAGAGGCCCCAATCTGCTATGAGGTTTCAAATAGCCTTTGTTTTTGATGAAGTCTGTGGGTTGTCACTGTTTGGCCTAATTAATATCAAATAAATGAATAATTATTGATATTGAAATCAACATATAAGAGTTCCAGTTTCATAATTCAACATTTTTCTCATTGAACACACCTACAACAAGGCTTCTGATCTCTTTCCATTTCCACTCCTAGTTAAAAGTGAATTTCAATTTCATTAACAAAACATCTTTTTCCCCAAGTTTTTTCCCTCAAGACAAGCATCTTCCTGATTCGCCTTATCAGAAGCAATAAGGCCAATCTTTTGAATGTCATACTTGAAAATTCTTAAAAGCTGTGCAGTGCAAAAGGTCACCCCTGTATCACTTAAGTCAAAACAAGCTCTCCGTTGTACTAACCTGAAGCAGAAACCAGTAAGAATAAAGTGTTTCCTACAGCTGCCCTGGAAAGGAATCAGGGAAGTAGATATCTTTGTGATACTGCTAATGATGAGGAAGAGATTACTCTGATTTCATTAGCTACATTCTTTAAAAATGTATTTAACTGGTAAGTGAAAACTCTGCTCATTGCCTAAAACTGATTGCTAACTACCCAACCTACTGCTACCCTCTAATGAGCTACAGAACTTTGGCATTGGTGATAAATATTAATTCTCCATTTATATGGTGATAATATTCACATTCATATGGATTACAGGAAGGACAAATTAGAGTAACTCTGTGGTCTTAATGTGCAATCTAAGACTAATTCATAGCATTTTAAGAACATACAAGAACAAAGCTGGCTCACTAATGTTTTGAGACTATCAGTCCATCTAGCTATGTGTTTAAATGGTCACTGCAATTCACATCACAGCAATACAAGTGTTTTCTAAGTAAGTTGATCTTATTACAGACATGAAAGTTACTCAGGGCATGGCAGCAAAAAAGGAATGGCTGTGTATTTCCCGAGTGTTTTAAGCATTAAGAGCTACTGTCATTGTTCTTGAGGTTTTACAGAGAATTAACCAATCTCTCCCTTTGGTGAAAATGCTCCTCCCTTCTAATCAAGTGAAATATATTTCTCTTTTCTATCTCTACTTTCTTTGGAAAACATTCCAATTTTGTTTCACTAAGGCTGGAAAAGACTCTTTTATCAGCATTTCATTGCAGTTTATTTTTTTTTTCTTTAATCTGTATAGGAAAATATTTCAATACAATGTTTCATTCTAATAATCTAGCTGTAATGTTTTAAGCCTACCAACACTACTAAAAACCATATAGCTTTATTGATGCTATGTAGCTAAAAAAAGAAAAAAAAAAAGAGAAACTCCAAAACAAATTAAACAAACCCACCAAACCAACAAAGAGAATGAAAAACTGAAGGGGATTATTTGTCCACTTGTAATTACCTAACCCTAATCCTAAATCCTAAACCCTAAATTGTGGAGGTAGTCCACAGTTCCAAATGGACCACAAATGGGAAGACAGGCTAACAAAACTTCTTTAATCAGGCCTTCAAAGGGAGGTAGGGCTTGATTCATAAATAGGATTTAACATCTGTGTTTAACATTTTGTTGCTCTGACTTCCTGCAGAATTCACCACTTCAGAAATGAGCAGAGCAATGTGTGCCAAACTCTTCCAGCTCCCACCTCCGCATCCAACTTGCCACTGATGGATCCTAACCACAGTGTGAAGGAATAATGTTTGCATATAAATATGTGCTTCATCTGCAGCAGTAAGTAATGCAACAATATAATTTACAAGCAGTGGAACAAGCTTAAAAGTGAGAAACCAATACACATACACTTTCCTTCTCTTAGTGGTGTGAAAACAGCATTTTTAATGGGAAACTGGATTCAGATGCCTGTTCTGGAATGAAGAGAATTAAAGTGAAACAAGGCCTTTCTGACAAAGTGTCTTAAATATGCATTTGATCTTTTTTCCTTAAGAATTTATATTCCAACACTTTCACAAAGCTGACACAAACGTACTCAAATTTGTATGTGTATCTGTTTGCATATAAACACTACTGGCACGTACACAAACCACCTAAGTGCCAATTTTCCAGGAATTAAACAGAGTGAAACACCTTCTCCCCATACAGAGAATTCTTGTACTTTCCATAATGTGTCTCACTGTACAACAGGATCTGACTACATGATCTGCAATACTTGTGTTTTCACCCCTCAACAGTTTAGGATTCAGTTGTACAAGGACTTCCAGCACTGCCTAGCTGTGATTTAGAGTGGAATAGGATTGCTCTATCAGACATTACACTCCAAGGAAGAAGACTACAGAAAGGGTGCCAGAGCCCTGATGTCGGAACACTGTTTGTAAAGTGACTTTAAATTCCAGGGAAGCTAGAATATTTCATTCCTCTTCATTTCTTCCCTCTTATTTCCTGAAAAATTTCTACTGCGTAGCCAAATTAGTCTAACCATTACCTGGGGCTATATCTATGTATTGGGTCTCTTTAGTTGAAAATATAGCACTGAATTCTTCCCAACCCTGCAACTAAGACACCACATAAATCTTAGTCAATAACTTCATTCTGCTTGTTTGTCATCCTGGAATAAAGATAAACTAATGGACAGGCAGTCCTGGAGTTTAATTCTTACAGCCAGTCCAGGTCCCTCAAGCTGTTAACTGCACCATTTAGCTTGGTGTCATCTGCAAACTTGCTAAGGATGCACTCAATACCACTGTACATGTCATAAATAGTATTGGTCCCAGTATGGACCCTTAACCACTCGTTACTGGTTTCTACTTGGAAATTGAACCATTGACTGCAATGCAAATGCAAGTCCAAATGCAACCATCCAGCCACTTCCTTACCCACTTAACAGTCCATCTATCAAACCAATAGCTTGCTATCCTGTTATGTCTCACCCCTGACTAGGAGCAAACAGTGCCAAGAGAGCACTGATTAGCATCTATGCTCATTGGTCCTCATCGGTTCTTACTACCAGAAGTTAGTAATCAGTTACATGGATAGCTAACTACTAGCAGCTGAATAGAAACTGGCAGCTGTTTTAACAGTGATTTATAAAAGCGACCATGACAAACCATGGCCACAAAATAGTGATGCAAACCTTAGGGGCTCCATATCTTCATAATGTCATTCATTCCTATTAAATTCCTGTTAAATTCCTATTCAGTCATTCATAACCTATCAAATGTAAGCTAAAACTCAACCCTGATGGTGGATAATGAGGTAAGTTTTAGCAGGGCTGAGTTTGAAATGTGGTTTGAAATAATTGACCTCTTACTGGTTTCTTTATTAAGATAAAAGAATTCCACAGAGGTATAAGCAGGGAGTTTTACTACATTGCAGACTCATCTCATTTTTTTGTCACTTGAGATCACATGTCCATTGTTCACTTGCTAGGCATTTTAATTAGTCGTGGCTTTTGGAAAGCCTCAATCACCATGGCTGTCACGGTTTAAGCCCAGGCTGTAAGTCAGCCATGCAGCCCTCTCGCTCACTCCCCCTCTTTCTTCCCCCCCCTGCTCCCAGAGGGACGGGGAGGAGAATCGAAAGAATGTAACTCCCACGGGTTGAGATAAGAGCAGTTCAGTAACTAAGGTATAACACAAATCACTACTGCTGCCACCAATAATAAGAATGATAAGGGAAATAACAGGGGAACAGAATACAATACCACCTGTCGATACCCAGCCCAACTGAGCAGTGATCCAGCCCTTCTGGGTAACTCAGTTACATCCTGGGCATGATGTGCTGTGGTATGGAATACCTTTTTGGTCAGTTTGGGTCAGGTGTCCCGTCTCTGCTTCCTCCTGGCTTCCCCTCCTCCCTGGCTGACCATGAGACTCACAAAGTCCTTGGTCAGACTAAACATTTGAGCAGTTACTAAAAACATCGCTGTTATCAGCCCTGTTCCCAGGCCGAAAGTCAAAAACACAGCGCTGCACCAGCTACTAAGAAGGAGAAAAAATGACTGCTACTGCTGAACCCAGGACACTGGCAATGAGGAAAAACTAGTAGTGTGAGGAAAAAAAGGCTCAGCACCTTTACCTGCATGTGCTCTGTCTCCTCTTTCTCCCCTTTCCCACTCTGGTGCACCCATGTAAAGGGGATGCAAAGACAAGCTCTGTCTACTCAGTCTGTAGACTCAGCTCTGTCGCAGTGGTTGACAGCTATTCTGAGGACTTTGATGAGCTCAGTGTTTAAGTGCTGCAAGCCCAGGTAACAAAATACTCAATCCTGAATGCAAGTCATGTACAAAGGTTAACTAGCAAGAGCAGCAGCTGCAAAATTTGACCACTGGTGAGTGCAGTGACTTAGACTGGTTTGACCCTGCTCTCTTATTCATCATTTATGAATTCTGTGGTGGAACTCAAAATTCTATCATTCAGCTTTTGCACTTGCAGTTCTTTTCTTTATTTCCATATTACAGCAATGTCAGCCTACTGCATTTTAAAAAAAGACAGGACTTACACAGTTGTCTTTCACCAGAAGAGCACAGCACTGGATTCCTGCCAACAGCATTTTGTGGGGATTCCAGGCAACAGAATCTGCCCTGTGAAATTTATAAATTAAGAGAGGTGGAACTTGCACCTATAATCATGAGTACTACAGTATCAAAAATGGCCAAACACAATCCAAGTAAGATTACCCTTCCCTCCCCCCCACCCACCCACAGGTTCTGAAATCTCTCCAATTAATAGTAATGAGTGTTTTGGAAAATGCAGCTGTCATGGAGGCCAAGAGGCCACACAACTTCCATCTCATTCCCTGGTAAGTGTGTTCATTAACTGAACTGACATACCTGTGAATGCCATGAAGAAGTCTGCAATGCTTCCTTGATATCAAAGCCGAGCCACCCCAAGAAGCCTGTCGGAACATTCATAGAGTCAAGACAATATTATTTGTATAACGTTCTTTTGATAATGCTTCAACTAGTAATTTCTGAAGACGCTGAGCTGGAAGAGCTGATGGGAGAAACAAATTACAGTGTCCCTTCCATATAAGGAAGGGCATGAACTGATATACTTGCTAATCAGAACCATTCCTGATACTAGATCAGAAGTGCTTCCTTTCCGCCAGCCTAAACCAAAGAAATAAAAACATAAAGCCCCATTTTGTTTATCTTCTTCCTACTAGCTGTTTCCTTTCTGAGACAGTCACAAGCGAAACAGTAGAGAATTATAACCTCTGCCAATTGCCAAGTCCAGGTTCAGATTTTCCACAGAGTTTAGATATTAAAAGCAAACTCAGTGAGTAGGCAATAGCAGCATTTCTGTTACCAGCAATCCAACTGATGTTAGAATGGATTAAGACTCACCACATCTCCCTGAGGTCAATATAAGAACTAAGTGTGGGGTCTTAAAATCATTTAGGCTGCCCCTTTAGTGAGGAGATCTCCACTGAAACTCCTTCTTGAGTATCATCTCATCTCTTCTAGATACCTGTCTTTGGGCAACACCTTTTGCAGATACCATGGACTATAGAAGGAACTCAGGCAACAAGTTTTATATTACACAAGTTTAATTTATGGCCAACTAGAGTTTGGAAAGGTGATTCACATCCATGAATTCTGCAAGGATTAGATTTCACCCACCAGGTGCTGTGAAACTTCAGTTCTTAAACAACAACATTTGCCCTACAGAATGGGTGGGAGAACACATAAACACTAGACATGTCATAAAGTGCATTTGAGAAATTATTACTAAATATGGAAAAAGAAGAATTTTCAATGTTCATGCAGGCAGAATCTACTTAAGCAAAAGAAAAAACAGATGTGATAGCTGATCTATGAATTCAGCATCAGTATTTGCTTCATAGGCCATAAATTAGGAACAAGGTCTGCTGTCTGGCAGACACGAATCATAAAGTCTCACAAGGGAAATGTAAGGTCAATAACTTGTCTTATCATGCCATTTTCATTAACACAGTACATTAATGGACCACATCATATTTTATGTTGTTATGTTCACAACATCCTTGCTGAGGAAAGGGCAGTTGCTCAAACCACAGGTAGGACTTCAGGTAGGAAATTATTTGCCTCAAGCATCACTGTAATCCTGTGGCAGAACCATGACTTGAAAACAATTTTCTCTAGCTAGCCCAAATTTGCCAAGCTACGGGAAGACAAACTATTCATAGACAAATTTCACTCTTCTCATTATATGATTCAATAGACAAAACAGTCATGTTACATTATTCCCTGACTTTCATAATTCATAAGAAACCCACTGAGGTATAACAATTCTTTACAAAATTTGCTTCCAAAGCTATTTGGAAACATGAACATTTTCACACTATCTCTGAAAACCAGGACTAGAAAAGCCCTCAAGTGGTCATTTCAACAGTTTGCCAACCCCAAAGGCACAACCAGTAATACTCATTTCTGTCAAACACTTGTCTTTTCTAGAGGTTATTAATCTGTGAACACACAGCTTGTGATTAGCACTGAAGTGAAAAATAAGGTGCAGAGAGATATCAGCAATTGCTGCTTCTACATTTTTACCCAGTTCAAAAGACCAAGTTCTTAGATCCAAGGTTGGTTAAAACAAGGAAACGAGAACGTACCAAAGAAGTGTTAGAATCACTGGCTCTGCCTGTTTTTAAAGATCTCTAATAATAGAAGCTGCACAAATTAACCACTTAATTTGCACTTAAGAGTAACCACTCTATTGATTTAAAGTGTCAGTCCTAAAGAATGTTACCTCTTGCCATATCTGCAATGGTCAGGGGAACAGATTATTCCTTTTCTTCTTTTCAGCAGCTCTGAAAGCACCTGTAGGCTATTGCATATTGTCTCATTGTCTCTTCTTGTTTAAGTAACATCAGTGCTTTCAGTCTTTCTTCATTGGTCATAATTTCTAGATATGTTTCTGCTTATCCTCACTGCTTTACTATTTCTTTCTCCTGTAGGTCCTTAACCTTCTTGAAATGAAGCTTTTTATTTGGACACAATCCAGATTAAGCAGACTCAGGCCCAAGCAGAAAGAAAGAATTATTTTATCAATCAATCTTCTTTATTCAGTTCTGAAAGACATTTAATCCTATTTAAAAATGCTTATGATCATTGATTTGTGAGGTACTGCAAGCTCCAGATGTTTTTTTCTGAAGATCTGCTTTCTAGCCAGCAACTCCCAGCCTATTTGTGCAGTTGATTATTACAGTTTAAACGTAGAGCTCTATGTTTATTGAACTGTAACCTAGTTTTTCCACTTTTTTCTCTCAACTACCAAGATCTCTTTGATTTCTAATCCTGTCCTCCCACTGCCACTTGCAGCAATTTTATGTCATTTTCAAATGTATTTAGTGTATTCTTTTTCATCCAAGTTATTAATGCATATACCAGATAACTTCTAACCTAGGATGGGCCTTTGTGGAATCCTGCTCAAAATCTTCTCCCCTGTCAGCAGTGGACCCATGGGAACTGCTCTCTGGGTATTATTTTCCAGCCAGATTTGCACTCACCACCACAGCTGCAGCTTGGCATGTTTCTCTGGCTTCCTCATAAGATATGGCAAAACCACAATAAAGTTAACTACATCTCTTCCATCCATGACACTACAGAGAAGGAAAGTGTATTGATCAAACTAGACTGATACATTTTGTTTATGACAAATGCAGTTGAGAGCAATGCACGGATGCTCAAAACCAAGATTATCACCTGTGTCCCATGCAGTGTAATTGGTAACAAGGTATGAGAAAATTAGTGTGTTATATGTGCAACAAACCATTTACAGCTGGATAATGGGAATCACAGTGTTTGCCGTGTGATTAAACTAACTACCTAAGCACCTGCTAATAGGTCAAACCTGATTTTCTGTACTATAGGGGGTGGGGAGGAAAAAGACAAAATAAGGACCAGCAGGGAAGAAATACACATAATATTTAAAGCTAAATGAACACAGTATTTTATATAGATATGTGCTGGAGCTTGAGTGCCTATTGGTGGTGTAAAACAAGTCCCAGATGTATGATAGAATGCAGTAAGAAACTGGAATGCATTTATGAATACTGTAATGCACACAAAAGGATCCTGGTTACAGTCTCTGCACTTAGGCTGTTGAATGGTTTAACTTCTGAGACAGTTTGGGCTTATTATTGGGCTTTATACTGCATTTATATTCTTAAAACAACTTTTTCCTTAACTTCCCTTTCCTTTTTAGATCTATCTCCATGTCAGAGCTTATCTACTATTTCTGACTTCATTGAAATTTCTCCTACTGAAGCTCGCTGATTTTATGTTGACATTCTCCCTTTTGCCTTTCCTAAGAATCATGAGCTTTATCATTTTGTGTTTAACAAAGAGTCTCCCTAAGGCAAATATATCAATTCTGGGGATCAGAAAATATTCTGAAATGAGATACATCAGTGTAAATCTGGAAATAACACCACTGACTTTCGTATAAGATGTTCTTATGAACAGCTCTTCAGACCATTTGCAGTAGGTAATCCTGATGCCCAATAATACACAGAGACCTGAATTAGAGAGAACTTTCCCTGGGTTCTAAAGTTTGTTTTAATTGTACTGTATCTTTTTTTTCCTCCAAGATTACAGTTGGAAGAAACAGCAGCAGTCACTTGCTATAACTCAGTCTGCAAACCATGTAAAGTCATTCAACAAGAAGCCAGGCTTTTTCTTTAGATTCTCAATATTAAACAAACCCATCAAAAATTTAGAGGAAGTCTAAAAATCTCCATTAATGTTGCTCCACATTCTCTCACTGCTCCATGGCTTTTAATCTGGCCATTCTGGATTGGTGGCATTGCAATGATAAAGAGAATGAAATTTTAAAAAATATGAAGAGATGTAGTTTTAGGAAAACACATTTACAGCTAACTCTTTCTGGTAATAAAAAGTCTCAATTACAGTTCCAAAAAGATTCATGAATGGATTTTAGTATCCAAACCTAAAATTATAAAGAAAGAGGAAAAGAAAGAAATTCTGAACAATTCAGGAAAACATGGAAGGAAACTCTAACTTGTATGAAAAGATAAATAATTTATGACTGGTTGAGTCAGAAATATACTTTTATTTTAACCTGTATGAGCCATACACTACAATTACAATGCATCCATTTTCCAACAGAATGCAGAAAGACTCTTAAGTTAGATTTATATATAATCACCCTCGAAGTATTTTTAGGAGCTAGCAAGAAAAACAAATTGATTTTTAAATAATTTTAAATATAACCCGACAACGACAAAATCATTCTGACTGCTTGTCACAACCAAGCTATTTGCTGTTTTTCAGCACATGTAACAGAGACAAACCAGATCTCTTTGTTTCCAGTCTCGATGCACAAAAAAAGAGGAAAGAAGGGTTATTAGAACCCAATTTGCTTCTACAAAGAAACAACAACAGTCAAAGAAAAATAGCAATTACAATAAAGCAACGCTAAACAAAACTGCACAGTATACAAACTCACGTCAACATGAAGCCAGAGGCCATGCTTTTCACAGATATCAGCAATTTTATCCAGAGGATCAAATGCTCCCAGCACTGTTGTACCTGCTGTAGCACAGACAAGAAATGGTGCTGACCCCTGCAATAGGATTGAAAACAAAAAATTGTCATTTGCACTGCTCATCTCCCCCAGTATACCTGTAGAGTTAAGAGTATAAAAAGATCTAGGAATGTAGGACAAAGATGTAACAGTCTACATTTTTAGTTTCCCAGCAGAAGGCACTGCATTCAAAGTGCTGACTCTTCTTAAAAAAGGCATTTTCCATTTCCAGTTAACACCATCCCAGGGCAGACTTCACCAGCTGTTTTGACAGATGTTAGTTTTGTCAAGATCAAAACATCAGATATTTGACATCTCTCTTCATACACTGCTTTTCATTTCACATTTTACTACCATATTTGCTGCCATTCTGCTGACTATAACAAAGCTACTAGCTCAGCCAGCAGGCTACCCATGCAAGGAAAAGGCTCATCCCTCTAGGGTTTCCACCTGAGTTGCCTCTACATTGCCCTTCTCTAGGGTTTCCACCTGAGTTGCCTCTACATTCTCCTCTGCTCAGTGAAGAGGAACTTCAAGTTAGGGAACGTGATTTGCCTTCGGCAGCACTATCACTGCAACTAGGACAGTCATCACTGTCTGGCCCCCATGCCTGATCTACAGCAAAGAGCTATTCTCTTGCTCCTACCCACTTCTAGAAAACATGAAGGGCTGTAGAATGTTAGGATAGACACCACTGACACTCAGACTGTTTTAAGGTTAAAAATCCAGGTTGTAGTGTCACACAACCATCATAAGGCATCCATTTTGGTTTCAATGGCTTTGCTCATTGTTTTCCCATTCAACTAATAGCAGGGGTGCAATTACAATAGCAGACTAGGTCACATAACCCTTGCAGGTGTAGGTGTCTGTGCCTGCTTAGAACCTGAAACTGAAATAAATGGGAAGAATTGAGGGAGTCTGTAATCTCCATGAAACTGAGGGTACCAGCCCTAGCAATGACTGTGCAGTCTCACTTGCCAGCAGCTACATGTTGAAGAAAATCCCCTGCATTTCAGCTTCTGGCCCACAGCATAATGCTGTTACTGAAGAGGCACTAAAGTTGTTATTAAATTGTACAGTCTGGGATACTTGGAGTTCATTTGCAGTGAATTAAATCTCTCAGATGATGTAAGTGTCTCTGTTGATGTAACTCAATGTCCCTTCACTGAAATTAGACATCAGCTGAAAAATACGACTCTTAAACGAGTCTTATGTGTCTTCAGCTGAAATCTGAGCCCTCTTTTAAACATCTGCTACAGAGAAGACAAACAGGCTTGAGTCACGTTTACACACTGGCAGTTTTATACTTCTTTAACAGAGCACTGTTAGAATGGTACATAATTATGATTTGTTGGTACTTTAAAAATTCTTTACCATTTGCTAAAGCAATGAAAAATAACCTTGGAATGAATATAATTTAATCCCATACATTCACAAAGAATTACCAGCCTATAATTCACTTCTTGGTCATTCATTCCTAGCACAACCTACCACAAAAGTCAGTCAAAATTACAAACCAGCCTGAAGCTCAAGTCCAAAACTTTTGCAAGTGAGGCAAAGATGTATGTGCTGCACCTAGTTTCTGTTAGCTTTCTCATCAATTTTCTTCCACAAATATGGAAACAAATCTAGTATCTCTACAAATTTCAAGGATTGGTACCATTACATTTTTCCCACAAAGAAGGCAATTAAATTTTTACTCTTCTTGACAACATAGTTACATAAATCTTTCTGATTAAACTCTCTAAAAAGAGACCTAACATTCTTGCTATTCAGAGTTTGTAATCATTTTGTGTTCCTATCACTAGCAAATATATCCTCTGTTGTCTAGAGTCATTAGAATATTTACTGTCATTCACTGAAGTGTCTTTCTGTAGAAGTTGTAAAGTAGCACTTTATCAAGGACAGACACACTTACTGAAGCTCTGATGAAATTAAAACCTTCCAAAATACCTCTAATTTCCATCAAAATACAAGTGAAATAGTTTTCCTGTAAGCAGAGTATTTTAACATAGAACATTTATTTTTAAATTGCAGAGCACCATACTGAGACTGACCTTTTTTTAAACCAGAAATGCCAGATTTCTTGCAAATAACCATTAGATTTATTTTATTATCAAACAAGAATTATGTTTTTGCAAAAGTAAAGAGCCCATTCACCTGACAGCCTGCTTTTCCCCTTGCTCAATTTTATTTGTCTTTATTTTTTTTTCCTCCAGCTTGCTAAAGCGATTAAAGTACAGCTTGTTTTCCACAGATAATGGAAAGTACAGGAAGAGGCAAACAAGAGAGTTTGCTAGGTCACTAGGGCCACTATATATCAATAATTATGCTGTTTAGCATGAAACTCAAAGAAGAGATGGTTGTTTGGCAGAAAATAGATCTAAATCCAATTTTACTGAAAGGTGCTATGACCATGCAAGTGCATGACAGGAATGCCTTGCCTTTTCTATCAGCCACAAAGTAGGTTTCCCAAAGAAGGTAACAACAACATGATGGACATCGCACTAGTTGCTTGCTGCTCGCAGATTGCAGAATAAGGGCTGAGCTCTGAATCCCACTACTCTGATGCACAAACCACAAGTGAGAAATAGGGTGAGCCTAACCAAGCTAAAAGATGCTCTGTACCTTAGAATTGAAATTCAGCTCTCCAAGCTCTCTAAAATAAATCATGTTGACTATAGTAAGTGTTATCTTACAGACTATGGGAACGTATGTTACAATGTTGTTCAAATACACGCATCACTTTATTCCCAAACACTGGCCTTTGACTTTCTACTTGGCAAAGCCCCTGGGGGAAAAGAGGCATGGGACGTAAACTCTACACTCTTGCTACAATACTAGGAAGGACCAAATTTAGCATTTGTAGCTTTTACGATAGTTTTAGAGACTAAGCCTTATGTTACAGCTCTTGCTTACTGCAGAGGATAGAGGAATAGACGCTATAATTAACTGAAAAGCCTACAGTTTTCATTTACTGCTTACAGAAAACAAATACTGCATCCACGTAAAAAAGGATCAAGGGCAAAAGAAATCCTAGAAGAAATGTGCTAAATACTTCAGAGCAGCATTGTACTCTGGACTTTCATTAGTACTGAACAGGCCAAGGAATTTTTCTCCCTCATAAGAGCACAGCACCTAGAAGTTTGTGGTAAACAGCACCTGCAAGAAACATACTGTTACATTAACTACAAGGCTTCATTCACTCTCCAGTTCCCTTCCTTTCACTCAGACACAAGCACACAGTCTGCATACACTCCTCCTCTCTCCTTCATGCTCTCTCTCACTCTCTCACCTCTTTCCTGGACCGCTGGACTTGTTTCTCCAGTTCCTCAGGTATCATCTTACCTCTAAGGGACACAGATGTAAAACTTTTTCAGTTACATTCAAATAGGTTGATTACGTAAAGCACTACTGCATTTTTAAAAAGATCAGAGACCACAGCCATGGCTTTCGCTTGCTTACCTTTCATCTGTTTTGATGAAGTAAACGTTCTCTGTGCCAATACCCATGAAGGAGGCTGCCTTTTTCATGGAGTAATGACACTGTAAATGAAAGAGACATGAAAAGAAAGTAGTAAGCATGCAATTAAAATGAAATTTCTTAGCATAGAGAACAGCGACACTGAAATTAACAGAAGCTAACAGTCATGACAACAGCATATCCTAACAACTAAGCAAACTGACAAAGCTACAGCACCAAGACCATCTTGCATTTGACGACACACACTGTAGATAGTAAGACAAAAAAAGACGTGCAACATGTTTAAAATGTGTTTTTTTAAAAAAAACCATACCTATTTCATACTTCTTTTTATTTTAGTTTTGCATTAGAATGAAAAGTAGAAATTCTTGAAGTGTCACTAGGGATGAATTATTAATTCCTTCAAAAAGTTTTAATAGAACTAAGTCAAAATTATCAAGTGCTAGGAAATGCATGAGAAGAATGGTCTATTTGAACTCAACAGTCAAAAAGCAACTGAGAGGTCTGCGAGTCCAAAAGCACCATTCTTGGAAACTGGACCTTTAATTAGGATGTACCTGTGGATACATCTAAAGCCTCTATCACTTTATCTTTGTGGTATCCAGAGACAGGATACTATGCTAAACTGACCCTTGTCCTGATCCAGAAACTCTGTTCAGAAGGTCAAGGAGCTGAAGTCCTTTACTTCAAGGACTGAAATCCAAGACTTACTAAAGCCTTTAAATGTGGTACAACTGGGACTAACAAGGCTTTCAAAGCCCCATCTCTGCAACACGATCTGAAAAGATTTTTCACATGAACATGGAATCTTATAAACCATTATGAGAGTAGGCAGACTTTAGACAGGACTTAGTACATATTCAAAAGTTAATATGGATTTTGCACAAGGTTCCAGTCTGCATTTTCCAGAAAATGAAGTTACCATTTCAGCAAAGAATTTTAGCTAGGTTTCATCAGAGATGTCTTTGAATGAGGATCAATACATGCAGCCCACTTCTCAATTTGCACTGAACAAAGGGAATTAACATTATGAAGCCTGTGAAGTGAGTATAAAAGTTGAGGTCCCTTCACTGGCTCAAAGGATGTTAGAAATGAGTGTTTATTCAATCAGAATGTGGTAACGTGGCTCCGGTGGGAAGGATACTCCAGCTCCCACAGTCCACTCTACTTATTATAAGCATTTTTTTTCTGTCAAACAAATATTCATAGTACATCTTGCCATATTTCCAACATCACCTCTATAAGGACCTACTCTACTGTGGATACTGTTTATCATAAGAACATTTTGTTTCATTCTAGAATAAGAGTATGCTGATCTCATCTTAATCCATCTTCAAGATTAGGCTGGGAATTCAAGATACAGTAACCTTCTTAATCTGAAGATCTTTTTTTTACATTAAAACCATCATGAGTAACCTGTAGCATGCCAAATGCCTACCCAATCACAGCAATGGAGCCAGTTTTGAGAGTATGCAACATGAGTGGCCTATACAGTTCTTAGAATCAAGATCATCCAACCCTTGGATTAGTACTGCTCTTCTCAAAAAAGAAAACTGGTTCTTTTTCAGATTACTGAAGAGTTAAAATAACATGTACTCCAGCAACCACAAAAATGTCTAGAAAAGCCATTTTTCATACAGGAGCTGAAGCCAGGTGGTTAATTAATTCCATTTTCTTCCAGAGAGTTCACACAAATACAGTTACTGTAGAACATAATTATGAAAAATGTACAACATTTTAATGTGTGGGCATGAATATATTAAGGGTATTAAGGGCTGTCATGCTTATTTGGTGAGATGGATCATCTCAAAGGGCTTTCTCTTTTTAATAAAACTGTTTCCTCTACCATTGCCTACTTTTTACACACATACAAAGACATTACCTGATACTATTGGGTAGTTTTAAGAAAGCTTAATTTTGTAATATGACACATCCACAAAGTCTTTAGGGCTCATTCGTTTAGACTGTTATGAAGATAATAACATGCATAGGTGGATAATTAGTCTTACATTGCATTAAATTACATCAATAATGGCAATAATGTTTGTAGAGTGGCTGTGTGCTGTTCAGTAGAAGTTCAGAGACATTTTCAACTGATTACTGAATCACTTGAAATACAAGTTGCCTCCATCACTGATTTCTAACCATAAGGTTCAAGAGAAAGGTAGGAATCACCAGGAATAATGAGACTCCTCAAAACTGAGAAAGCAGTAGATCTGCAAATTCAGTATACTAGTAATCAGGTATTTTATTATAAAAAACAGTATGGGAGACTGGGATACAGATAAAGTGGCTTGAGCACCTGAAAGATTATACCAAAAAGCAGAGGTAAAGAGAAAAACAAAGGTAATACCAAAACAAAACAGGATGTGAGATACATTATTTCCTGCCTCCACAAATACTTCTGTTTCCTCTTTTTGTCAGGTCTTCAGTAAGACCAAAAAAAGGACAAGATTTATACTGTTATGTAGACTTGAAATATGCTTTCTTAGATGAAAAAAGTAATCTTCTAGTCATATTGACTGAAAACATACAAGAACGTTTTTTCCCCACTATCATTACCAGAAGTCATTATGCTAAACTACATGTATCATTTTAAGAAAAAATACACCAGAGAACATTTACCAGCTCCAGTCAGTGTCAACTAATTCACTTGTTCATAGTTCCCTTTCCATAAAGGAAAAAAGTACCCAGTTGAAAGGTATTTTTGTATCTAAATTATAAATGTAATTTTAAATAATGATTTTAAACACTGTGAGTTCAGATTAATCTTGCCATGTCTTTTTCAGTTTTGTTTGTTTGGACACATTGTTAGATCTGTAGCCATTTGTAGTAAGAAATTGATGCCTTTGAGCACAAGATCAAATTGGAACAGTTCATTTAAGATGTGCTGCTGTACTGTTTTAACTATAGCTACACATAGCTTTCATTTCCTAATAACATATGCAAAGATAAGGTACTTTCCTCCTGTGCTCATTAAAACAGAAGATGATTTTGTATTTTCTTGATTTTGAAAAGTTTCCTAGAAACATGATTGCATAAAGCTATTATGTTATTATGAGACTGTTATATTACTCATTTTTGCCTGTTGTAATTTCAACCGGGAACAACATAGTGAGTTAGAGTTGTATTCCCTCATTTTATTACTTTCATGATCAAGTTGCACTGGGGAGGAATTTAGTTTCATTGCATCTAAAAAACTGCTCACATCAGCACGCATATTTCAACTGTTCACACACGCCTCTCCTACCCTCAGTTACCTTTCAGAGCAATGCAATACATTCTAGGGTCAGAGTAAAGTTCAGATGGGACTCAAAGAGCAAAATGTGGTAAAAAAAGTTGGGTGACATCTGTAACTACAACTGTATTCAGCTCCCAATAAATCATGCCACAATAAAATGGGATATAACGATTTCTCTACTACTGCTAGTGTATCAAGAGAAATCGCTCTGTAATGGTCCAGCAAGAGAACTACAGAGTAGTAGCTTAAGCAGTGTTCGTTGTGTATCAACATAATTTTAAGCAGCTAAGCATCCTACTTGCAGGAACAAAGAGACTTTTTATTCCTGAAGGCCAAATGGAGCATTTAAGGACCTTGGGTGGGCTGTGCATTAAACACGTTATCATAGAACATACAAAAAATGCATAACCACAGATCGCATAAAGTTACTTGCCACTTGCCAAGTGCCAGACTGAAACTTTGGGACTTAGCAACTCAAGGCAAAAATCATTTCATTTGAACAGTGTTGAAGCCAAGCCGTAAAATGGCACAAGGGTCTTGTGCAGCCATGTATTTTAACTCCTTATCAGTACTCTCAGTTTGTTATAGCTTCATGGCTTCTCCATGCCAGCAACTTTCACCGGATTCAGGTTGAAGATGTTAACAAGATACTAATGGTCAAAAGAGTGAACACATGTTGTTACTTGCTCCAGGATAATTTTTAAAACATCATTTGCTTCTCTCTCTCTCTCTCTCTCTCTATATATATATATATATATATATATAAAGGTACAAAATACTAAATAAAGGCTCAAAATAGAAACAAATAATAAAAAAAAAAGATTATGTGACACAAGCACTTGTGTACTATTCTTCAGTGTGGGTTGTTCATTACATATATTCTCAATATGACATATCTGAACTAAACGAACTTCCAAAAGGTAATATAACTTGGACTGAGTACAGGGGGATCTAAAATAAGTAGATATGAGTATGACATCTAAAAACCATGAATAAACACTAGAGATCTTATACAAGAGCCACAGTTCTAACCACTAAAAGTGGCATGTTTACAGCAAATTGTTATCATGTACTAAAGACCACATGGTTTTGTGAATCAAGGAAAGTATTAGAGATAAAAAGCATTGCCTCACAACTAATTTACTAGTTTATTTTTCCTAATCAGTTCTATGTTTTATGGTTTTGGTCTTTCTGGTGAAGCAAAGACCAGTAAATCAAAATAAATGTACTGAGAGTCAAAATTTATTTTGTCATGAAATTAAATGCTTTTTTGTTTTATGAAAGTATACATTTTAGTTAAATCTTTCAATGAAAAAAAAAATTTATTTCATTATAAAATTCCCCGTACTTCACTGGAAAAGCATTAACAGAACATGTTTCAATCTCATTTTTATCTCCATAGCTATTTTTAAGATCTAATATGACGGACTACTATGAACTGGCATGGCATGCAATTTCATATACACACTTTTCAAAAAGAACTAGACCTAAATATATTTTGGCTGGGGGAAAAAAAAAAATTAAAAAAATCCCTTTATTTAGGACATTTGGATTCAGTTCCAAATATACGTGCTGTCTTGGACAACTAACGCAATGCCCCCATCCCTCCCGCCTCTTGAAAATAAGCCTCTTTAATTACACTGCAAACTGTTTGGAACATAACCTTAAGAGCTAAAATTATTCTAGTAACTACATACTTTCTAGTACAACAAGGTTCTCACTTTCACCAGGACCTTTACATAGTGGAGTCAGAATGAATAACCACTCTGTACTAATCAAATTATAAACTCTTAAAATTGGAGGGACAAGCGAGAAAAAAAAGCCTCAAAAATTAGCTTCAGAATACAAGTATGAATATAACTCGATTTTCCACAGGCAGTCTGGACAGATATTATTCAAGAGCTTTCAACTAGCAGCATAATTTTAATTATTTAAAGAACTGTTGCTCTCAGTTGGTTCTGAAATGCTTTATGGTGCATTTGGCTCTGTAGCGCAACCAATCTGTATTCAGTCACAGGGGAGAGTGGGAGCTGCAGAGAGCCATCTCACAGGTCCACAAGTGTTCAGCTTAGTACAAATTAAACCTGCTGAAAAAAAACCTTTGACACCCATAACCTACCTATGGCTTCTACTACACTTTATGATTTGAGAACTCAAATGCTGCAGACCTCCACATCACACCACAAGCATTCTGCTTCAGGTTTGTCCCACCTACAACCAATGTTTTTATCAAGTTTCCAAAAGCAGGAACATCTGTGCTTGTTTTCCAAAAGCAAGGAAGCTTCTGCAGAGAAATCTACCATCAGATTTCTCCGGTTAGCTCCAATATTCCATATGCATGAGGCATAGAATCATAGACTCACAGAATGGTTCAAGTTGGAAAGGACCTTAAGATCATCTAGTTCCAATCCCCCTGCCATGGGCAGGGATGCCTCACACTAGACCATGCTGCCCAAGGCTCTGTGCAACCTGGTATCAGTGTATGATGACAAATTTATTGTACCAGAGTCCCATCAAATATACAAATTATATCAATTTTGCAGACATTTGGAAAAAGAAAAAAAAGTTTAAAAAAGCAGTTTTTTTATTTGTTTTGTTTTTACCTCTTCTGATGTGAACAGGACTAGTCTTGGCAAACCTGAAAGCCCTTTTTCCTTTATCTCAGGACAAAATTTGTATCTTGCTAAGTTCATAGCATACATATTAGAAACAGAGCCACCTGCAGAAAGAGGCATACAAATATGTTAGCCACAATCCTGTTTTCCCTATTAGGAGAAAAACAAGAAATCAACCATACTGTCCATACTGTTAGCCTGTAGATGCATCCATCATAGCTTAATTTCCCCCAGAAACCCTACAGATATAAAAAGAACTTTGGCCTTTGCAGCATGTTTGGAAACACAGAATGTTTGAATGCTCTTTGGGGATATTTCCTAAAGAATAATAACTGTACCCAAGCAGTCCTCCCTGATAGCAAATACCTTGCAACAGTTCCTTCCCATTTATACTGAAGCCATGCCAGCTCAGCTGCCCAGACCAAGTCACGCTGTGGCTGCACCATACAGAGCCTAGGAGTTCCCTTGTGCAACCAAGCCTCACAGTATTCTGATGGGAAATTGGGGTGGCTGGGGGGGGAGCTATTTGTTAAAAAAAACACCACAGTGAGTGGCAACTGGAAGATCTGAAAGGTAAGATCTGGAAAGGTTTTATTCTCTGAAAAGAGCAAACCCAAATCAGTAAGAAAAAACTTTACATAAATCTAGTACCAAAAAGTACAGTTCATTTCTTTTTTGACAGCGTCACAGCATGTTTTAGTTCTGCAAGTCTGCATAAAAGCAAGGATTCCACATGTCAAATCTGACATGTGGGGGGAAAATCATTACTTAAAAAAAAAGGGGGATGTTTAGTTTGTTTATCTTTCTACTATTCACATGTTAAGCTAGAATTACTGACCTTGTTTTGGTTTTGAGTGGCTTAAATTCGTTTACTTATTCCTCTTCTCACCCCTGAATTAGATATAACAACTTCCTATTGATCCTAATAATTTGTTATCCAAATAATCTGTGGAATAATATCATTATGTTTCATTATTTCAATCCAGTGGGCTGGAATGCTGCTTTAGAGAACATTTAAAAACTGCAGCTTATCAAGAAGCTTAAGGAATATTTGGTTGGTTGGCCTTATCCTAACATTTAATAAAACCGTCAAAACTCAATGGAGTTAAGCTCATAAAACTCCCACTATGATAAACTGGTTCCCACAGTTGATAGGCAGGATACACAGAACAGTGCACTCAGGCACCACTATTTGCTGTCTGGTACACAAATCAGCTCCCTCTCTGTCAACCAGTACGATTCACTCCAATGAGGCTGTTGTTATTGTTGTTAATAACGTCAGGAAGGGCAACAGTTACAATCAATTTCCACATAATTATATTTAATATAGAACTGATCAGATTCACACAATTATTACTAGAAACATGTAAAATATGCCTGGATTAAATAGTTGTGTGTGTACATCACTAGATTTTTCCATGCATTTTCAAATATTTGACACAAATTCAATGTTCACAGAATTACTGATATTAGTTGGTTTAGAACATCTTGAAATCTGAACTGTTCCTACCTGGATTAAATATACCATCACCTTCTTCCCAGCCTATGAACTCAATCATTTTCTTGATGACTGCTTCTTCCACCAACAGAAACACAGGGGACACTTCATATGTATATCTGAACAAAAAAAACAAAACAACCCACACCATGATTCGTATTAAGACTACAGAACTCATGCCATAGGATACTGGTAAAACTAGATTAAGGTTTCTTGCACCTTTTCCTTATCTATCAGAAGCTGACCACTATCAACAGTAGAACTCTAAAAACACTGTGGATCTAACCCAGCAGAGCAATTGCTTAGTTCCTGGCAGCATCACATTGAGCTTCAGTTCTCAAAGTAATACATCAGGGCTTTCTTTCAATGTAGGTCACATGGTTAGATTTCAGCTATAATAATCTATTTCAAAGCAACAGTTACTTTTTGTTTAGGCTTTACATTTGCAAGTAGCAGCAGACAGGTAACCACTTGCATTTAACTCCATGTAGAATGTTTCAAAGGAAATTAGCAACTTGCAAAGTCTTATTAATTCATTTTTATGCACCAAGTAAGATGAAAGTCTAGGTTTAAAAGCACTGAAATACTAAGATCTCATCTCTTAAACCCCCCTTTACAAGACAGAAAAATAAGGCCTCATCAGATTAGCCAACCTCTTGAGCCATCCAATCTAGACTGTTTTCTCTCCCACATTCCTGCACAATTCTTACCTCCTCTATGATACTGAAAACAGAAATCAGAAGTGGGGAAAAGGGGAGGAGGGAAACAGGGGGAAAAGCTGTTATTTCAAAAAGCATGCCGCCAATTCATCACCAAGAGGACAAAGAACTATACTTACACACTTGGGTTCAGTGCTTCTGTAATGAAACGAGCCACTAATGAGTAATAATCTATTCCAGCATACAGCTGATTGAAAAATCTTGGGTGACCTGAAAACACAGATGAGAAGCAAGCAGTGACAGTATATACATGAAAAGAGAATATATCACAAGCCTTTCTCAGTTGAACACTGATCACTGCAAACCACAATTCACTCAATCATTCTGTCAGTATTTTCTGGATTTACTATCCTTTCTTTTAGGTTAGACAACCCTTTGAAAGCAAATTTGATGAGCACCTTCAGGTCCCAAACCAAGGTTTGAGAGATGTAAGTAGTGCACAGAATGAATGCAGGTTGTTCACAAGTTTTACAAATTAAAAAAAAAAAAAAAAAAAAAATTAAGTATACACAGTGGCTTTTAACAGCAGTTTTTAAAGGCTGCAATGGATGTTCAGACAAATTTTCCAACGCAGTCACATACAGGAACCTGCTGATCCCAGGCAGCCAGAGGCAACATAACAGCTTGGAAAATCTTGCTGCAGATTTCAAACAACAGTTAAGAGAATTTGTTTACTTGCCTTGAAACACTGAGATATAACTAACTAGGAGAAAATTCTATGCTATTGCTGACTATAAAATCAAGTCAGCTCAGCAGTGGTATCACCACCTTAATTTTAATTCACAGCATAGCACTTTTAGATGCAAAACCAGGTAAACTATATGGCTCCATTCACGTTACATCTGAGGCTTCAAGAAATGTTTGCACTTGAATTAAAGACCATTTGCCAGCATACTTACATGCTTTCTAAGGTGATACAGTGTAAGGAATGGAAAGTTAAAGGCAATTTGCGAAAGTAAGATAAACAGAACACCTTCCAGTTACTCAGTAATTATATCTGCATATTATTAATGCACTGCCCCTATAGATCAGTACTGCTATTTTTCTATGGTTTCCAAAGGCATGAGTTCACTCAAAATTATTTTACAATTTTACTTCGTAGCAGAGAACGTGCCCTGGAAACGCACAAATAACTCTATCAAATGTCCCTCTCACTTTTGAAAACACTGCCCAAGCTCTGCCATGTCTGAAATTCTGAGCTCCTGAACCACAGCTCTATGTCTTGAACAGACGTTGCTCATCTCTTCGCTAAGGCTGAATTGTATTAGACATGATGCAGAAAGGTTAACCACAGAGAACTAGTTCTGCAGAGATGTGGTGTTCTGTCTCTGAAACACTGCAGGCTTTCTTCTCAGCACCTGGAACAGGCATTACTGCCTATCAGCAAATTAACACCCTGTAAGCCTATTGCTCAAAAACAATAGTAAATGTACAGCAATCATCACTAAGAAAGTATGAAGGCAATGACAGTAGCTCCACTCCTCACCACTCAGACTGCAGGAAATCGCACATAAAAGTCCTTGTCCTGCCTGATTGTTGTACCTGTCTAGGTGACTTTCACGACTTCAAAATGACAGAATCTACCATTAATCTCAATGGCATTATATGAATTAGTCTTTTATTAGTTTGCCGCGATTACACATTTTAGTCAAACCTATGGTGACCAGCAAACCAAAAAATTCACACCCTTGGTTTCCTGAAAAGTGACAGAATTTCATAAACTTTATCCTGTCTTCCTTAAGTTAGCATACAAAATAATTTCACTAGAAATCACACTCCTACTGGTTTTGACGCTGTACTGTATAACATCCCGGCAGAGCTGCAAGAGTTTCTGATGAGATTCTCCAGTGTCCCTCATTTCCAGATCAAGTATCTGCTTCAGTGTTTCAGGGTCTTGCCATTCACAAACCTAGTGACGGAGATGGGGGGATACCAGCAGTGAGCATGTTAGCCAAGAGGAAGAGGTTATAAAGGTACAAGGTTAATACATTCAGCACTGTGTCTTGGGCATTGCCTTATTAGAGTGGGGAATGCTGGAAAGCAATAAAGCAGCAGGCCTGCAGCTCAAATTCTGTCCTTAGCTAAGGATTTGTAATCACAAGATTTTCAGAAGCTGTTCTGCCAAAGGGTGGGAGCAATTACTGCACACCCAAAGGCAAGCATGATCCATTTGCAGCTCCTCTTCCCATATAGCCTCTTAAGCAGAGGTTCTGTGAAACCCAAAGCAATCTCAGTGTTGTCTTTTCACAGTGGTACCACATCCACTCTTCCTCCTTCTCCAACATCAGTGCTACTGAGGAGCGAACAAGTGACTCCCCCCACCCAAAACAAGAAAAAACACTGCACTCGTTTGTCATCTGACAAAAGTGACCATTGTACTCTGAGAAGGGGGAAAAAAACCCCAAAAAACATAATTTTCTGCCAAATATGTATGTTAATGATGTTACTGAAAGGTTCTGTAATATGACCTTTCTGAATTTGTAAGGCTATTTCAGAGCCAGGGGTAGACTGGAAGTAATTGTGAGGCTAAAGTGCAATAAAATAACAGCTTAGACAAAAACTGATTTACTGTTCATTATCTCTGTTACAAATTTGCAACAAAGATGTATGGTTTTACCTTTTCAGTTACATCATCAGCTTTCTGGATGACTTCTTCCATTATAATCTTACAGGCTTCTTCCACAAACTTCTCTCCTGCTCTTGAGTCCATTATTGGACCATTTAGGATTACCCCATCCACCAAAATAGCATTCCTCTGGAGCATCTCTGGCTTGCAAATATCAACTGTAAAATAAATAACTCACCATCAGAACAAGGCCTGGGCAACTAATTCATAAACTAAAAAAATACTCTTTAATTGATGAAGATTTAGTGAAGAAAAAAACAAAAATCACGTCAACTTTTACATATACAAAAATCCTAGATTTTGGTGTAAGAATCTTTGCAGACGAAAAGCCAGATACGTTACTTCAAACCTAGACTCTTATTATGTAGTTAGTAACAGGCTACTGCATGGTATCTGTTGCTTTCTGTAGCATGCAAACGCATGCAAGGCACCTTCCAACCACAGAGGAAAATACAAATACAGTTCCAGCCCAGTACATGATACAGCTGGATAAACAGAAATAAAGTGCAAGATGATAGGCATTTTTCTTAGCTGACAATATTTCCTTCCATGTCATCCCTTTTTTCATTAAATAATTTTTATTTTAATTTCCCATATGTTTATGCTGCTCCTTCCCACCAGCCAATCCCATTGCTCAGAGTCCTCTGCATCCTCTGCAAACTGTTTCACTGACCCACGTTCCATGAAGATAAAACCTTTTGAGATTGCTGTCAATATCACATACCTGTACTCCTTTCTGCCCTTATCCTATTATGTACCCTCAGTCACTAATTACAGTAATTTGCTGTGCGGATTATGATGTTTATTCAGTTCAATGACAACCTCTTTCCTCACCCTCACCTTCATCCACGAGATGTACTTTCCTGATGTGTTCCATAAACACAATGCTACTTCTTCCTTTACATCACTCTGAAAGCACATCCAACATGCTCATAAGACACTGGCCAACACCAGCAACCACGTATCTATTTCATGTATTGATTTACTATGGTAAGATCAGGACTCCAATCTTAACATAAGGATAAAGACGAAAGTGAGACATCCGGAGATATCAAAGGAACAGATGTACGGAACAGTATAGTGCCAAAATGAGAAGCTGTAACTACCATATCCAAATTATCTAGGTTACAGTCTGCATCTGTCCATCGATCTCACCTTAGCATAGCTAAGATCTATGAAACGAGGCAGCACTGAAGGATCATCTTCATCTACAGTGAGGATAGGGGAAGGGTAAATTTGTATGGACAAAGTTCTATGCCCAAAACAACTTCATTTTCTGCATTACATTTTGCTCCAGTTATGCAGTACAGAAAAAAGGTATATTTTTAACAACTCTAAACAATGAATTGTGTTTCCAGAAAACTGCCAGACACTGCAGTATGACACCTTCATCATGCTTATCATAATTACAGTTTCTCATGAGCAGGAGGATATAGAAGAACAATACTGCCTAGAAAGGTGCATGATTTTGAGGTCCATTGATTGAAAGAAACCCTGTCAATCCCATGAGCTTTCATTTATTGGTGACTCAGAGAAGCTCTTCAGTTCGCTCTCACTTATCAGAACAGAACTGGTAACATAAAATTCTAACATAAGATGGAACTTCAGGCTTCCCATAACGCTTATAAGTAAAATGAGACCCTCACCCTCTACATCTGAAATGACTCTATTCTTAATCCAAAGGGGCAATATACTAAGTTTTGCTGAACAGAGTAACCTTCAGCACATTTTTATAGGATAGGCATAAATGTTCTTGTGGGACATACATAGAACAAGCAGCTAAACAGTATTACATCTTCAACAGGCAAAGAGGGAGATCAGATGTCAAAAACGTCAATTCTCATCATGCTTTCCAATACACCATAGCAGAGGCACTGTACGGAAACTACAGCTTTGAAAAAGTCTCTGAAAACACAAGCTAGTAGGTCAACTTTACATACTTAAAACATCAGGTATTAACAAGGCATCAGGTCTTTGGGCAGACAAAAGGGGATTTTTGAACTGATAGTCACTTGATGTATAAATAGCTGCCTTAGGTATAAACCAAAGCTTAATGTAAATACAAAAGAATCTCATACTTTACAATACCTGGTGATGCTACCTGGAGATGACACCGTATCAAAGTGTTGTTTCTACGGAAAAGAAGACAGGATGTAAAAACAACTATACAGGAAATGATTATCTGTCACGGTGCACAGATGTTGACGCCTCCTTTGGTTACAAGAAAAACAGACAGTGGAGCACTAACTTCCCCCCTCCCCCCCGCTACACCTCTCAGGTCTCTGCTAGAACCGGAGCTGTGCAAAAGCTTTCCATTGGTAATTCCATCCACCCTATTTCTGACAGTTTTGCATAGAGATGTGATACTAGTGCTTCCATGACTTTACAATGGCCTCTTCCAGGGATTCTTTGAAAAGCAAAAGCATAACTTTACACTGCTTTTTCTACCAAGTCTTTAGGGAACTGTGTGGTAGGTCTAACAACAGCTCCCTATCTGAAGGTCTGTTCACCTCTACACACAGTTTAACGGTCTTCATATGACACTTTATAGAGCCCAAGGAAGAAGACATCCTCTGTAAAATAGGTGATAGTCTATCACTAGTCCCACCACATCTGTGTTGGGCCTGAGGCATAGCAGAAGGGTCAGAAGGAAGGGAAAAGAGCCTTCATTTAAACAGCAATTTACCTGCATAAGGCTCCAGCAAAGGGTTCAGGACTTAGCCCACATTATAATTCATTAAATAATTTACTTTGCAATTATTTACTGTTTTCTTAATTTTTTGTTATCACCATTTTAATCTGAACTTGCTGAGCTAAATTCTGCCCTGGAACCATACGACTATTACTGGAAATTAATAGGAGCAGCTATTTGACAATCAGTAGCTAAATCAAGACCCAAACATACACATTTTCCTGAAGAAAAAGGTCTTCAGGTTTTGCAAACCACTACTGGGTAGATACGTTATTCCAATCCCTCATGATTTTACTGCAAATCCTGTGATACTTAATCTTCTGCTTCTAACTGTCTGACTTCTGAAGCTCTTGTGAGAATTCCAAACTCTACTGAAAAATAAAAGTGTTTCCTCTTGGTTGCAGTAAAAACCTTGAAAAGGAAAAATAAGTAGATGATAAAAGTCTGAATCTCCATAACAATTTTTTTATCACATTTTTTAAAAGATCTTATGAACAATTTATTACATTTCAGATGGGTGAACCTCCAGAAAGATTTAAGGTTCACTTTTTATGTTACTGCACCCAAGTTAATTAGCATGCCTTTAACACCTTCTCAGAGCTCAGCATCCAAGTTAACTCATAGACTACCTTTATGAGCTGATAATCTATGTTGTCTCTAAGAAAAAAAATAATCATACCTCAAATGCTCAAATCATTATTTTCCAAGAATTTAAGTTAAAAACATATCTGTCTCAAAAAACTCTGATAGCACTAAAGGAATGCATTCCACATTGAGCTCACTTCACAGAAACAGCACCTTGTCCATATACCTTCTTTGTTTTCAAACATGATAGGCAATCTATAGACATGTGGCTGCAATAAACATATTATTTTCTACTGAAGAATACAAAAACAGAATTCTAAACAGACTCAGAAAACAGACTTCCAGAAAGTACATCAAATGCCATTTCAACCAAATGGATTCAGGCTTGAAACAGAACTAAAACTTTACTAAATGGAAGTGCTTAAATCAGAGATTAAGGATTATTGACTGTTCAAGGTACCTTTCTGTTTTGGAATTGAATCTTCTGTATTGGAAAACAGAAGATTCAATCCCACTCCAATTAAAGGGAATTGAGCGTTTAACCACTGGCTTCAGTAGCAGCAGAATCAAGCTCATAACTCTCATATTTCATACTGAATGAAATATTCTATTACAGAAGCCTAAGGATTTTCAACCAACATTTCATTTTTTACGATCAATATTATTTTCCCAGTAGAAAGCATAAATTAAAGCTGTAATAATGTACAGAAAAATAAACATTTTTTCAGATGTTTCTATATCATTATGTAAGCACAACCACGAATTTTTAAAGCTGCAACTGTGTTTCCATAAACATACAGGAACTTTCACTGGTAAATTCTTGCACTACAAAAAGAAACTGGAGCTTTGTTCTTGGCACGTTGTGACAACATTTGGGAGCATAGAATAAAATGCCCAGAAGGATCTACTGCTTGCAAGGAAAAGGCAGAAACTGAAGGGGGTGGCTGTGAAAGAGTAGCTTGTGCTTGAATGCCAGAGCCAAATCCTATTCAGCTTACACTGTACTAGCATCACTGGCTATACCAATGAGTGCAAAAGGCTGGCTAAGACCAAGGGTTCATTCCTGCTTTGTAACAGATGCAGTAATAATTGACAGCATTAATCAGAAACAAATTTTACATTCTTCATTCTGTATGACAGTCATGGTTTTTCTTTCAGAAGACCTCAGTATTTTCTTTCAGCATGTCTAGCAAAAGAAAACAAGTGAACTTCAGTGTCAAGACTCCATGCCACCATGTTTAATGGATTATTGTAGTGCCTTATCATATAACAAAGTGTTAAAACACAAACCTGTTCTGTGCTATGTAGCTATTTTAGTCCCTTGGTGTACATAATCTTTAAAGACAATTTTGTTTCTTTAATCACCACTTTCTGTATGCCTATGACAGAAGTAAAGCCACTCTAGTTTGAAGGCAAAATACACGGTTTCTTGGTAAACTGATCTCCCAGACCTGTTGCCAGATAAAGGAAATGCAGGTTTCTTAGAATCAGTATATAAGTTAACTCAGTATCCTGGCAAAACCATCCATACGAAAACAAAGTAGGCATAGGTACAGTACGGCTCGTGCAATTGCTCCTGTACTATGTGTTCCTGTTTTGCAGGTTTATGGACTAGGCCTGTGGACAGGGAACAAGTTGGGCGCTTCCCTTCAGAAAGTCTGCAACAGCCACCACCCACAGGAATCCTCCAACTGTTAAAATGCAAACGTGACCTTTACAGAGCAGGACTCAAGGGAAACAAAAGTGCTTGTGTCCAGACTCAAATTTGAGCAACTGCCAGCACTGAACAGCAACAGTATAAACAACGGGTCCTTTTCCCCAGCCCACACCCAAATTTCCCATTCTGAGAGGAAAGGTTGGGACAAGAGAGATAAATCTAGGGAGGAGTCCTAGGGATTACTATCTGACAGTGATTGCAAGGTCCACACAAGGAGAGAGTTTCTGCTTCCAGATATGTTTCTGAAGTCCTGAGGGGCACCGTTAATAGCTGAATGCCCATGACATGTTGTGCCCATTCACTGCATGCAAAGCACTTTGCTATACACAACGGTTCATGCTAAAAAAGAAAATAAAAATAAAAATAAAAATAAAAATAAAAATAAAAATAAAAATAAAAATAAAAATAAAAATAAAAATAAAAATAAAAATAAAAATTAAAAAGTAAGCGCAGACAAATGTTAAAAAAGAAGAATCAGGAATTTTTATGCAGCCAAACCTCAGGAACTGATGTTACTATTTAATAACAGCTTCTCAATGCCCTAACCAAGTCACTGTAGGAATGATTCATGCTGTAACATTTCCAATTAAGAAGAAAGGCTGTGGAGAATTCAAATTCACCTTGATGTAAAACCGAGAAACGGCAGATGCCAACTATGAAATGGAAATCCCAACTCCCTGACCCCAATGAGATTCTCTCGGCTCACACATTCTAATTTTTAAGATCTGCCAGCAGTGTAGGAAGCATCTGAGAAACAAAATGGCTTTTATTTTAATTAGAAATTGCATATCGATAATGAACATTTAATGACTGTCCGTTTTTTCCATGGGAAAGTGAATATATCTCACCACTCAAGTCAGTCACAGGCAGTGTGCACGGGATAGAAAAGTTAACTTCAAGAGCCTGAGTTCAGACAGAATTGACAAATGTACACGTGACCCCTGAGATTTCTCTGCTTCCCACTGTAAAAAAATGAAGTGAAAATATAACTGGGGCTTTTTTCCAAATGGAAATCCTGCCATTTGATTTAAGAGAGTCCACAACAGCCTGTAATTTCATGCAAGAACTATATTTTGGGTCATAATATAAAAACAATTTCTAACTCCAGTCTTTCACAAACCATCTAAGAAAGTAGTAATTTACTGAGTTTTCTGGGATTCAATGCAAGTTAAAAATGCAAAAACAGATGAAAAGTCTAAACTTTGTTTTAGGAAGTTTTACTTCTACATTCCAGTTACAGTCAAAACAACTTTTTTCCCCTTACTTTTTCTTAACATTACTTTCTTAACGTTTCCGTATTTTCTGTTTCCTACAGAGGATTTCCTAATGCTGCTCACTAACTTTCATGTACAACATTGATCTAAGATATGCCCTTATTTACTAACACAGGGAAACTAGTGCATAGTAAATCAGGACGCAATTTTCCAGCTCACTAGATCCTCTGAACTAGCTCCTATGTAGACATTCATAATTTATTAGCATGTTATGTATAGCAAAGTAGTTCAATCCACTTTCAAAATGAAACAAGCTACCTTGCACAGACTATTATAACGCTGCTGGTCAGATCAGCAGAGATCAGCCACAAATGAAGGACCCAGGCCCTGGATCCACCATTTCAGATCATGCCTGCCTTGGTTTTCCTATCTGGCTTTGGGAAATCACTCCTGAGCTGCAAGAGGTCAAGCTTCTGAGTGACCGTACATATTGGCAAGTGGCAGCTGAAGATAGCAGCAGTCCTTTTCATGGGCAGCAGCACAGATGATGCCTGGTAGAAGCACAGATTTGACCATGCTATGCATACTAGGGATGATCAATGAGACTGTGCGATACCTGCCCAGAGTGCTGAAAGAGTCCCAGAGACCCTACACCACCTGCAGTCTGACTGCACCCATATCTTCTGTTTTTCCTTTAAGGCAGATAGAAGATGGATAACCTATTTTGAGGCTTTTTTTTTTATCATACCAAAACTTTAATCAGTCATTTGAGATCAGCATCAGCACTGCAAACAAATACCAGGTACATACAGCATTTGCTGCTTGCTTTTTCCCCTTCAGGCAGGTGTAACACCTTTTTAACATGATATATTGGTCCCAAAGGGGGCTCAATAATCCCTGAACAATGGAGTACATTTGCTTGAGAAAAAATAAGTTTAAGCAGCTCAATGAGACACACATCTTCCAGTGTAACTAGTGGAGGGATGCCAAGCCGCTTATAAAAAAAAAAAACCAACCCAAAACAACCCCCCAAAAAAACCCAACACCTTTCTTGTTGAAATCCTGAGATTTGCCAAGGGATAAGATCATATTTATTAGGCTTTGCAGCTTACATAAGGCAAGACATGACAAACGACAGAAACTTCCAAGTTTTGGAGCCAAAAGCTCTTCTGAATGATCTAGATCTAACCAACTATTTTGTAGAGTTATTGCTACTTTGCTGACAAAGGACCTTGGCCACTAAGCACCACTTTCTTCATCATATTTATGGCACTGAAAAATCTCTGATACAGTGATGTTCTCTGTAAAGATGCCTCTCTTTGCTGACAGTTGACAAGGTTTTTAATTTAAAACAAAGCAAAACAAAAACCCCACAAGATAACATATACTCAAGAAACAGTAAGAGAGATGGACATCCATAAATTTGAACCAGGTCAAAGCCACCTTTCATTACAATTAGACTAGCCCTGACAATAATCATCAATAGAAACAACCTGCACTGACATGCCACAAAGCAACAACCATTTGCCTTTTAAATTCATTATTCCTTCATTGCATACGTAAAACCCCCATTATGTTAAAATAAGGTAACTTGTGTGCACAGATGGGAGGGGAAAAAAGAAAGGGGAAATGGCTCCAATTTACCCATCTCTTGATGACTATCCTTGAGCTTTCAATGCTCTACAAACTACCTCTAATAACATCTATGGTTTGTGAAGCCTGAAGAGGTAGCTTCTGTAAGCATTAGGACCAACTATCCTATCTGACTGTGGGAAGAGGAGGAGTCAGAGAAATACAAAGACATAAATTTCAAATCATCTATTTTTCTGCCTTTAACATGTAACAAATGCTTATGGAAATACAAATGGTTTTTAAAAAAGCAGGCTGCTTAAAAAATTCAAGGGCAGGGAAATTAAGGCACATGAAATCTAAGCTGTTTCATAGGCAGTAACAGCTGAATCAGTATGCAACAAGTAATAGCTGAATCAGTATGCAACAAGGTCTCCCAATGCACTAAAAAGTGACAATTCTTGGCTGTATAAGTGACAGGTTAAAAGATGTCTTAATCAAGAAAGAAAAATTATTTATTGAACTTCTCCAAATGTCAAATTAAGCTTCTTCACCAAACATTCACTAACTGCCAAGAAAATTCTTATTAAGTTTAAAGCACAATGAATGTACTCACACATAACGGCTTTATTTTACGCAAACTTCATTTCTTGCAAACCTGTGTTTCCTTTCCTCTGAAGATGAAGTGATATTAGCAAAGATCCTTGTATCTTTTTCATCAGATCTTAAGACACAGGCGAGATCCTATCCCTCTGTTCTGACCACAATACTAACCTGAGTGTCACTCTAGCTGAGCCTCTTTTACCATGCTTCACATTACACCTGTGTGAGAAGGCAAAACAGCGACACCTTACCATGAAATAAATGTTTGCTGACTCATCTCCCCAGTCTGCTGGCAGATGCAAAGCACATAATGCCCCAAATATACCATACGCACAGCAAACATCCAGCAGTTCATAAGTTAAAAAGCAGCATATTGTATAAAAGGTGTCCCTCCTCTTGCGGTTTCTAGCTCCAATTCTGTTTATTGTACTTGATGAGCTAGTAACTTGCTTGAGATTCTCACAGCAGACTCAGGCTTTATGCCCCACAAGGGAACATCTCACCTTTTTTTTTTTTCTTTCCTCCAAACACAGAATTCACCAGGTTTCGCAATGTCAAAACAACCTTGGAGAACTGACTTGATGACAAATGACTGAAGAATATACACAGTCAAGAACCATTTCTGCAGCTAGGAGTGGGAATCTAGAACCTGATCCCCTCAATAACGGGATTTTATCTTTTGTGTTAGTGGAAGCATAGCCTAAAAAATCCTCTTATTCATCCCTGCACAGTCACTAAGGTCATCCTTGTGGGTAGTGGTGATAATGTAAGAGAAATTAGGCTCAATTACCAACAAGCAAGATGAACCTTACAAATGCTCAACCAGCGTTGCCCTGAAGATGCTCCCACTGCATTCATCACAGCAGCCACTGCAAAGGTAACGCTACGCACATCCAAGTTTCCACTCCAACTGTGTCCACTTTACCAGCTGCTCCAGCTGTGCAAAGCAAACACAATGGTACTGCTACAACAGGCAGGTGCCTTTAGTCTTTGTCTCCTAGATGTTTTCTCATATAACCTTAAATAGTAGGAGCACATAAAAAGCAATCCTGAGAGAATGCCCACAAGGGGAGCCTTAGTGACTGCAGGGATGAGGAGGAAGACTTTTTTAGGCTATGGTTTCACTAACACAAAAGCTAAAATCCCATTAATGAGGGGACCAATTTCTGGATTCCCACTTCTAGCTGTAGAAATGGTTCTTGACTGTGTATATGCTGCATATTTGCTAACTTTCTCCAGAAGCCTCATTACTGTATTAGCCACAGGTCTGCATTCCCAACTGTTACAGAGATATGGGCAGCTTCTTATTTTTCATTACATAATGATGCAAGAGCCTCCTGTCAATATAGGCAAACAAGTGAACTTGATAACACATTTATAAAAGGGGATTAACTTCTCCCTTCTCGAGACCTTTTGCTCCAAAGCAAATCACTGTATCACCATGTCTTATTCTGGTGCCTGAGAAAAACAAATAAACGAAATAAAAGGCACCACTTTTTAAAGATTTATTTCAACAAAAATATCATGCTGCAATGCTTCTATAACAATTGTTGCAAACACCATACCCTATTAAACTGTTATGGCAATGTAATGCTGCATCATGTTTGGACTGGAAAGGACCTTAAAGCTCATCTAGTTCCAACCCCCTGCCACGGGCAAGGACACCTTCCATCAGACCAGGTTGCTCCAAGCCCCATCAGCCTGGGCTGGTCACATTAACAAAAGGCTAGAGAGAGATACTCAACAGGCAGCCCTTCTGTTCATCTGTACACACTACTGATCTCTGAACCAGGGGAAAGCCTCCTCGAAGGCAGCATTACCCCTCCCGCACCTCGGCTGCGAGCCGACCCTGCCTCTCTCCTGCGCATGAAGTCCCTCTGCTACCCGTCCCGGGGGTAGCCACGACGGGGAGGCTCCTGGGGCCCCCGCACGCCGGCGGCCCGCAGAGGAAGGGGTGAAGAGCCCCGAGCGGGGCAGGCAGTGAGGGGCTACGCTCCGCCCGCCTCCCCCGAGCCCTCAGCCTGGCCCCGCAGAAGTCGGGAAAGAGGAGGGAGAAGGCGGCTGTGTGGCCCCGCTGGCGTTTACCCTCCATCTCGCCTTCGCGGTGGGAGCTGCGTGCGGAGCGGAGGCACCTTCCGGCGTGACCCTTGCCGCTCCCTCGCCGTCCAGCGGCCGAGCTGAGCCCGCAGCTTTCGCTCCGCACTCCCGCAGCCACTCGGCTGTTGCCTCCGGGCTGCCTATTAATACCCACGGCGCTCCTGGCCGCCTCCTGCGGCGGGGGGGGTGGGGGTGGGGGGTGTCCCTGGGGACGGTCGGGGCGGGGAGCCGCTCGCAGGGCTGCCGCCAGGCGTGAGCAGAACGGCGGCGTCGGGCTGCAGTAAACAAGGAGAGGCGTTCTAATGCCCGGGAGCTGCCCTTATCCTGCAGTCGGGAGGCTCGCTGCTTGTGACAGTTGGTTCTGTTGCCTCCGGTGCCTTATAACCCAGCTGCCAGACCCGCGATGCCCTGCCGGCAAGCTGCCCACCGCGCAGCAGCGCCCGGCCCAGCACCGCCGACAGCCAAAGGCTATTTTAAGGCTTTCCGAGTGAGCTGTGGCTGACATCCTTATTGCAGTTTATTCGGGACACCAGCCCCGTTCAACGCGCCACAGGATGCCTTCCTGCTCATTCCTTTATGTCCTTTATATGGAAAAGACGAGCTTTATTTGCTTCTCATTGCTACCTCTTCGAAAAAATGTTTTCTTTTTGAAAAAAAGTGTTAGTGCTTTTGTTACATGAAGCCTCCAAAACTTGAACTACCAAAATCCCCAGATGCTTGTGTCTTAAATTAAAATTCAGGCCTGGTTAGTCTGGCAGCGATTTTTGGAAGCTGGTGAAATATTCAGGTATGATTTAAACATTTATTCATAATGATAACAATCAGGCATTGGAATGATCTCCTCAGGGAAGTGGTGGATTTCCCAACACTGGATGTTTCCGGGACATATAATGTAGATCATGCTTTGCTAAGAAAGGTTGGACCAGGTGATCTTTGTGGTCCCTTCCAACCTCGTATTCTATGATTCATTCACATGTAGTGTCTGAATTTTCCTTGTTTGTGAGGAAGCAAGTGTAGCCCTCTTTTACCTTCAGCTACAGATTCTGCTAAATCATTAATATCACAACTTGCAGAAGGTAATTTTGTGGCCCAATAGATATCTTCATTATGATAGATAAAAGTGATGGATATTGTTAAATTAAAAGTCTGTAGTACCCTGGGAACAAGTGATCATGGCCTGATCACATTCATAGTGGATAAACGAAGGACAGCACAAATCAAAATTACCTAGCTGCTTCAAAGAGCTAATTTCCACAAAAAACAAACAGACAAACAGCAAACAAGAACAGCAAGGGAACTGACAGGGCAAAGCACCTTTAGTGAGAACTCCAAAAAAGAGGCTTTCTTAAAGACACTATTAAACATCCAGAAGACTATGATTTTGCAGTCACAGAAGGCAGTAACTTTCCCATAAAGGCTCAAAGGTGGCAGCTCAAATGTGGCAGCTCAAAATAAAATGGAAAACAAAGAGAAATTAGATAAATTAGAGTTGCTAAAAATTGCAAGTTACAGTATCAAAAATTGCTAGGAGAAATCAATATGCAAGAAAAAAATCTGTGGTTGTAAGAGCTGAAGACAAGTGTGACAGTTTAAGTGCATTAGGAATAAAAGAAAACCCAGTGGTGATATGATTCTGGCCCATAAGTAAATGTAATTCGTAAGTTGGTTTGTACTGATATGGAAAATGTAAATATGTTCACTAAGTACTTCTGTGCTACAAAAAAAAACGAGTAGATGGATCTCAAGGGGGTTATGAAGAACCGCTAGAGAATGCTAGTAATTAAGAAAGATAGGAATCATGACCATTCTTCTATAAGCAAATGTAGATAACTTTTACTCCCAGTTCCAGAATGGATACTTGGGCTCTTTCACCTGTTCTAATAAAGTTTGGAATACTTGTCAAATTCCAAAAGGGTGCTAATGTTATACCAGTAGTCAAAAAAAGGTAATTGCAATGACAGAAAAATACAGGCCAACATCAGAACCCCAAATAATAATAGGAATAACAGATTTAAGTTTAAAAGATTTCGAAGAAATTAATAGAAATAACTCCAGTGTTTTTAATGAAGACTGGGTCTGATGAAACTTCTCTAAATTCATCCTTTAATGAGATTGCTCATTTGGTTAAATGCATATTGGTCATTTAGACTTTTAAGACAGTCTGAAAGAAATGTAGCATCCCATGATATCATTACAGGAGATGCTAAATCGAATAAGACTTGCCTAAATGACTAATGACAAAAAGTATCTCGACAGGGAGGAACCTTCATTAAATGTGTGTGTTTTTGTGAAAGGGGGTCACATCTGAAAATGACACAAAAACGAGAGAAATGGTGAATGCAATAAGGACTAAGCAACCACGTGAAGTAGTCTGAATTGAGCGGCAATCTCAGCCTTGTTAAACAAAATACATCTACTATAACTAAATCTCTGTAACAAGCTTGAAAGACTGTAGATGCTGTGTACTGAGAGGGAGGTGGTACTTACTGAAAAAGATTTAGAAGCTGCAGTCACCCACTCATCATAAATGCTCGCTCTGACACTGGTAACAGGAAGGATTAACCTGCATCAGGGGAGTAGGAAGTAGGGAAGATGATAGTTTTATCTCTGGATGTATTACTGGTGAGACCAATGTATACCCTGTTCCTGTCCATGTTTTGAAAAAAAATGTTGAAAAATTGGAGAGGGGGCAGAATAAGAGCAGAAAACATGATTTGAGAATTGAAGAAAAATGCTGCTGAGACTTAAAGATCTCAATCTGTTTATCATATCAAAAAGATTGACTTGATTACAACATATAAGTACCTCTAAGCAGAAAAAAAAAATTATTCTGAAGGGCTCTTTAATCTAGCAAAGAATGGCGTAACAAGAAGCTGTGGTAGAAACTGAAATCAGACATATTCAAGTGAAGCACACAATTTTTCTTCTTAAGGTGACAATACATCACCGGAACAAGCTGACAAAGGCACCGTTTTCTAATGGGTTTATGTACCCCAGCTAGGACAAGATATCATTCTGGAAGACAGGTTTCAGCCAAATGCAGGTTACAGCCCTCAGTTGCTTGCACATGTGAAACTTAATGACATAGGAGGAGATTAGACCAGATAGCTAAATGGCCCTTTGTGGTCTTACTTCATTATTTCTTGTTATACTAAGTAAATATAAGAAGGGGTGACTAGTGGTGAGCATCTGCTCAAGATGACATTCTTTGTCAACTGACTGTAATGACCGTCTGTGAAAAACGTGACTACCCTGAGTGTGTAGGTTTTTAAATAATCACAGTACATGAGACATTCTTGGCAAGAAAAGTATGAAATATCGAAACACAACATTAGCCACCTATTTTCATTTGTCAGTGCACTAAGCTGACAAGATTTTAATTCACCTGGGTCACAAAGGAACCCAGAAGAGCTTAAGGAGAAGCTGAATGAAACGGCAGAAGCATGAATCCATTAAAAACACTGGCCATCAGACCTGGGTAATGTGATAACTAAACTGAAAGCTTTGAAATGCTGGCAGACAAACCAGACAACTAATTCTATATGCAATATTACACTAGTAAATATACATCGGTTTTAAATATTCATGTATTTCTTGCCCAGCTTGTGCATAGATGAATCAAGTTACCTTACCTGAAGCTATGATCCCCCATAATGAGCTGTGGTATGCAGGGAAGACTAAAAGGTTTGACACTGACAAGTAATATCTACCTCTCTGAAAGTAGCCAGGACCACAAAACTGAATTGTGTGGCACATAAACTATTGAGAACTGCATTTAAACATTAATGAATTAACAGTCTTCTTAATTGTTCTATTTGCCACGATGTGAACTTGCATCTTCTCTCCTCTGCTTACAAAGTTGATATGGCAGTGTTCATCTCCATGCCCTTTCTGTTCTTATCATCTCTCCCCCTCTCTGAAGTTTATTACAGGAAGGCACAACCTTTTCAACAAATAAAGAGCATCCTCTAAACTGTGCAGAAAACCGAAGGCCATAAACAAATAGAACAGTAGAATAACAATACATTCCTTATGGAACGAAAAAAGAATACAGTTGGAGAGGGAGGGTTCATTTTGGAGTTTGCATGTAAATATTTTTCTATTACACTACCCCAAAATTCAAACCAAGCATACTTTCCAAACAAGAAAACAATTTTATCCAAAAGACTCATAGATTTTGAACTACCTAAGCTTGGTTTGTAAACCCAAACACCTTGCAAATGGTTCTGTCTTCCAGAAATTATTTAGAAAATTTCCAGGGCTTCTAGATGGTCTTAAGGATGGAAGCCTTCAAAATTACCATATAGTTCTGCAAATACAAGATGGTGCATAAAGTAAGGTCTCAGCTCTTCCCCTGTCTTTTCCCCAGGAAAAGTTGTGGGCTCCATTTGTACAATTAAAAAGAATTTCCAACTCCATATGGAGTAAACAAAAGCTGCAAGATCCCTGCACTTATGAAAATCAGATTTTGGGGCACTTCAATTAATAATTGAAGTGTTATAGCTACTTCTATTGGTATCAACATCACCTATGGAACTCAAACATTAGTAGTCTGGTGCATGTAACTGAGACAGGAAAGAAAAAGCATTAGAAGGTTGAAGGGCATTCATTACCTTTTTGATGCCTAGAGGAATAGCATTGCTGTGCTACTGGAGGCCAACCAAAGGTGAAGACTGATCATTCAATACAGTAAAGAGAAGAAGTAGTTAGGCTCTCAAGTTGCAGCATCTGATGCCTTCAAAGTAACACTATTACATTAGCTGGCTGGCAAAACATGTTGTTCAGGACTTCAAGGCTCAAAACATCAAAACATCAGTTGGTGAGGCTTGGACCCTAAAAGCATTAGCAAAGACAACAAACACAGCCAAAGGAATACTGAATTTAAGAGCAAAATACAGCTACAGGACAATTCCTGGAGATTACATTCTGCATATCAGAGGTGAACAAATGCCATTCCCTTGAAACACACATAGGCCACATCTTCTTTCAGACACCACATCTCCAGATGTCTGAATGTCACACATACTATGAAGAGTCTAGGTGGAGGAAAACACTGGGAGCAGTTCAAAAACAGTGAAAGCCTCTGCACCCTTTGTAGGCAAGGCAAGGACCTGTCAAATACCAGAGCTTACTGCTGTCCCTACCAGGAGCTGGATGAGCAGGAGACAACAGCAACCTAAAAGAGTTCATGGACACTGAAAGAACATCCCACTTCTCCATTGCCAGCCTGGGCTGGACATTCAGCTCAGGCCCGTGGCAACCACAAGTTGATAGCTTTAATCCCACTTGCTTCTGAAATAGAAAATCACTCAAATTGCTTGCAAGTCTTTTCATGGTTTCATAGACCCAGCTTAGATGCCCATGTTGGTTATTTAAGTCTATTAAATTACGTTATATTTTCATGAATTAAAAAGTAGGGTAGTCCAAATAGGACTATTTATAACTCTTGAACATGCAACCATTCAAGACTGACTTTTGTTGATTCAAATCAGTAATAATAATTACAGATCTGTTATTATTCCCATGTTTAATAAAAGAAGCCTTGCAACATACTTTAATAAAGTGTAGACTGTCTGAGATGGCTGATATCAAAATTGTAATACTCTTTTTAAATAACTGATACGTCTTGTACATTATCCTTTAATCAGTGTTGGCAAACCTGGTCATGTTATATCCTTCTAATGCACATTTTGGTGGGAGGTGAAAGAATTTTAAACCTCATAGGAGAAGGAACCTTGCAGGATTTAGGAAACAGCTACTGTTTCACCCATTATGTTTTAAGCAGATAGTTTCTTGGAGTAGATCCTCATGATAAAAATAATGCTTAATGAATCTCATTACTCAGGTTTATGAAGTCGCTTGCTCATTCTGTAATTCAGAGGGATTAAATCACTCCTGCAAATTAAAAATGGGCAGTCAGAGCAGGGCTTCTGTTTGCTGTTTGCATCAGGCAGACAAAAGAGGGAGCAGGAGCAACAAGGAAACCACATTCAAGAATTTTAATAAATAAATGAGGATATTTCAAATCTCAGACTTTAATTTCATCTCAAGATCTTGTTGATTCCAAAGTAAAGGACTATCTAATCTTTATTCTTATGGTTTATAACATTACCAAAATCTTTTGACAGCCATATAATTCCTATTTGCCTGTTTCATTGTGTTTTAGATAGAGAAGCCTAGGGGAAAACAGCTAATAGAAGCAAGCTGTTTTCATCCTTATTATGTATCTGTACGTGATGATTTTTAATAAACAAAAAGATACTAAAAGTGCATATAGCTTTTTTTTCCTCAGTGTTTTTGATTTTTTCATTTGTTTTTGGAAATGGAGGAATCTTTATATTCTAAGCATAGAAAGGGGATCACAGGGAGGGATAGTGAAAAATTAGAGAATCAGATACTGCTCTACTGTGGTCACTGCAGCTAATGTGGGCACGTATGAGCTATCTTTAAACTACCAAGTTTGGATGTTGCTAAAGACGTAGCAAAAGTAACACAATGATCATCAAGGCAAGCTACACATTCTTCATCAAGGCTGGGGATTTGGCATGTGGCTCAAATGCTGCTGAAGTCAGAGTCCTGTCATGCACATGACTATAACAGATGATCGTATGTGCTGGCAGAACAGATCACAGATCAGTCCCTGGTTTATCTTGGAAGTTAGGAGATAAAATCCATGCATGAAGATTACCAAAGCTGAAGAAGCAATTCTTCAAAAAAAGCCTGGGCTTCGCTCATGAGCCAGCTGCATCAATTAGGTCTTTTTCTAAATCTTTTATAGAAACTTTTGAACCGGGCTTCACTAGATATTCCTGAGACAATAAACTCCGAAGAGCACAACAGTAGAGGTGACAAAGCAGAGAAGGGGTGAGCTCTCCACTTTCATGTTTTGTAATGACAGGAATCTTAAGAAAAACCTATATACCTGATTTTCCTCAAAAATGTAGCTTTCGTGGCTGTTTCCCACCTGAAAAAAAAAAATCTCCTATGATTTTCCCAAAAAAAAAGAAACTAGGAAATTTTTAGCAGACTAAGTATATGGCATCCTGAAATATCTTTGTGGCAAAAGCTGTATTTGTAATATTGGCAAGCCATAAGATAAAAGGCATGAGTATTATTTCTCAAACTAGGATTTATGTTCTTTGTAACTTGCAGCCACCAGAAGATAACTTGAGCTCAAGAACTGCATTCAAACAGGTCTAACACTCCATTCAATGCAGGGCATTGTGCAGTACCGTTTGGAAACAGATACAGATACCACAGAGTGTAAGTGGAATACATCTACATTGTCTTCCAGAGCATGTAACCATGTGAAGTAATGCATGAGCAAATGTAGAATTCTGCGTATAAACAATGTACACCAAGCATCATGAAACTGCTTTCAGGGAAAAAAGGGCTTCTTTTAGCCATCTTCGTATCTAATGTGACCTTGTGTATTTCACTGCAGTGAGCGCTATTTCTTGTATCTGTGCAAAGACCTGTCATGGCTAAAGTCTGAAATAAAATTGCTGTATGCAGGGACTGTAACAGTTGATGTCATGGCTGGAACACAGAAACTAGGCACAAGCAAGAAGCAAACTTCAAAGAACAAAGTCTTTTTTTAATGGTAACATGTTTCAAATAATGTAAATACTGGGTGTAGGTTAGACAGATGGTTTCAGTTAGGTGGTTTACTACTTCTCTGTCTTCAAAAAGAAATGAAGCAGCAACAGGGAGAGGACTAACTTCCTCAGGACAGTGTTAGCTATATGAAACCAGAAGGAACTTCTGGTCTATGTCAGCTCTCTCATTCTAGCAGAGGCAGAAATTAAGTATTTCAATGGCCCTTTTGTCTGTCTGTACACTGTTGGTTGAAAAGCACAGCTATGCCAAACACTGTTATTGTGATACCTGGAAGCAGTTTTAATACCTAGGTCCCCAAGAAGAAAGTAAAGCAACTGGTTGCTTCTAATGGACACGCATTCAACTGCAATTTGAGTCTGTCTCGATGCATCTGGTTTTTTGTACACCATCTCAGTAATGTCAGCAATTTTTCAGTATTTTCTTTTTTTTTTCAGTTTTATCTCCAGCAACTCTTTCCTAGTGAGAAAAAAAAGGTTAGTTTGTGACAAAGCATTTCTTCTGAGATCAAAGGATATAAACAAGAAATATAAGCACCTCTCAGGACAAGAATTATGCTAAGCAGCTCACTCTTCTTAGCATTCTCAATTCTTACGTAACTTTAAAAGTCCCTTTTGTTAGATTGAAGAAAACAGCTTGCATACGGATAATAAAGTGTACAGAAAGGCCAAGTCAAAGCCAGTGTGTTGCTTAAAGTTACCTAGCACAATCCTGAGAGAGTAAGGATCTGAAATCCCATCTCCTGCACCTGACATGGTGCCCTGCACATGGAGTGCATTTCACATTTGGAAGTTGAGAATAAGCCATGGTTTAAAATTTTTTACACAGCAAAAAGTGGAAGTCCCAGCCCCTAACTAGGATGAAAAAGGAGAAACGGCTATCCTTGCTGCTGAAACACTGTAATACCTGTTTCTGTTCTTAATGACTCAGAAGACCACTTCCTCCAAAGAAGACACCCATGAAAAGCACCAACTGTTTTTGTGGATAGAGCTGAGGCAAACCTAGGACAGAAGCTAAGGAAGAAGATAATAGAACATGAGATGTGGCACTTAATGAGCTAGCACAACCTTTACTCTGGAGTAGAGCTTTGATGTGGATACCTACAGATCTTTTGCAATATGATCAGTATATTCATAAAAAAAGAAACTAGTTTCCACTGTAGAAATGGCTACATGTAAACAGGTGAGAGAAGGAACTGTGAACAAGAATGCTTGTTGACCATTTTCAGACATATTTTCACTTTGACAAAGACATTCACAACTTAATAGCTGAACTGGAGTCTGAGCACTGCTATTTCTTTTGCCATCAAACACTTAAGGAGCACTATCAAATATTAGGACAGTGTGAATTGGTCTCTTGAAAACAGCAATTCGCACAGTATTCTTAAGTTTTTTTTAAGGGAAAAATATTAGAGAAAAGCTTTGTCAGTTGCAAACCAAAAGTTGCAACTAGGGTAAATGGTTCGAACCCCTGGGTCTTTCAGTTACGTAGGCTCATGAGCTGTGCTGGTAGACTTATGAGCCCTGCCGCTTTGGCAGAAAGAAGGATTCATTATTTCCAAGAATATTTTTATTTAATCATCCAGAAGTTATTTTCTCCTGAGACACCCCTCCATTCAAACTTTCAAGGCATTCTTTGCAAAGACGTCTTTTCTCTTGGGGTCTCTTTGGATTTCACAGGTAAAGAAATGAAGACTTTTGATTGCTCACTCAACCAGTTATAGTAGAGATGAGAACACTGCATAGTCCTCTGTACTTGACAACACAGAAGAATACAAAGACTTACTCTATAGGCATATCAGAAAGAATGAAGACAAATGAAGTCATAAAATACAAGGCCTGCCAAAGTGCAATGGAAAGAAATCAAAACGAACTTCCACCTTATTTCAGAAAAGAGCTATAGGGAATATCTGACAAGTACATAAACCTAAAATGTATAAATATACATACTAATAAAAATTAAATAAAGAAAAAATACATCATTTTAACATATTCTTTTAGTACCTACTTACATAAAGCAATACAGAATGGCACATTTAGGGATAAGGATGCCATTAAATTATATACTTCACAACCAACTGTGGTCCATGAAAACTACATTCCCTCCTGAATCCTAACTGTCTTCAAACATTTAATGTCAACAGCAACATAAACCCAAAATATGTAATTTTACATCATCTGTATTGCATCCTGTACATAAGCAACCCATTTCTAAAGGTTTGTTTTGACACATTTTTAGAATCAGTGTAGCATTTCAACCACATTAAAACTAACACAACCACTGAAACACATTCTTACCAACGGTATTTAGAAGTGTTAAATGAGTAGCTCAAATCACATATTGCCTTTTAAAATAGAGCTACTTATATGAATATAATTCTTCTTAATCGTGTAGACACTTGATTCATCTTCAAAAGTTAATCCGTAAAGTTTAGAACTCTTCACTGAAATTTCAATATACTACCCTAACATAAATTGACCCAGTGCAGCAAAATTAGGTATCTCAGATTACTTTTTAAGATGGCCCTTTGCTTTTTATTACAGTCTTTGGCCTCCAAAAGACAACACTGCTCTATTTTTGATCCTTCTCTGTAAATCCATTCACATGTTCTTTAAGCCTAGTCCCTTGTTAGTCAGTTCATTTACAGTGGCAGATTGGCAATAAGGGCTTTTGTACCATTTCGGAAGCTTTGGTTTCTTTTCATATATCAAACAATGGAAGTAATGGAAGTAATGGAAGTAATAATTGTGCCATTATTTTCCAAGCAGAAACCTCTGTTGATAGAAAATGGGATTTTGTTTTTGCTTAACAATTTTAGTCCTGAGTATCTTTTACACTTACTGCTCCCATTTTCTCAGAAGCTAGCTTTAAGAACTGGTGTAGTAAGGGGACTTCAAGTACCCCAAAGAGTGCTCCCTTTTCTTTTTCCTTTCCAAAGAAAATGGAAGTTGCTAGGAAGAAATATATGTCTGACACAGTACAGAATCATTAGAAAAAGCTAATATTTTTAATTTTGTTACTCTGAGGCTTTTTTCCAGGATTCTAATTCTCACAAGAATGAAAGTCAGACACTAATTAGTTTTATAATAGTGCAAGCTATCAAAAATTGATAGAGTTAATTAGAATTTCTCCCTTACCAGTCTAAAAAGAAATCAATAAGAAGGTTAAGCAAAATGGTAAATAACAGGACTGTATTCAGGGAGGTTCCAGAATCTACTCAGCACTGAAAGTAATACAGAACTTTTGGCATAATAAGGTATTATAAACCCAATCTTTCCCAGCTGTTGGGAACTATACATGAGACTTTCAGAAGTTTGCAACTCAGAGTTAAGTTTGTCTGTCTGAAAACTACCTGGTGATCTGTGTGCTGAAGTGACAGTTTCTGCCCAGGGACAACATAACTACTAATGGGCTCTTTCACAGCCCCCTCTTTGCTGTGCCTTGCTGCAGAATAATATGTACAAACTCTTGGTGTAAAGAATGGACTGAAGCTTTCGCTTGATTTCTCTTTTACAATGGCTGCACATCTGCTTTCTTCTGTTCTGTTTAAAGGCTAGAGGCATATAGCCCTTAGTAGCCTTGAAAGCCATTAGTGTAATTTTAAGACACTTCGTCTAGGATAAAGAGTCTAAAAGTTAAACTAATTTGACAGTAGTCCCACCTGGAGGGGGTTAATTTATAAAAATGCATAGGAAAGGCCAGGTTTTCTATCTGGTCCTTACTGTTCTAGGTAACAACAGTGAAAAAGAAAACACATATGGTAGCAACATAGGAAAGCAAATCAGCAAGACTCCTGTGCTAGTGTATAATGAGCCCTTTCTCCTTCGTGCTGCAGCAACGTCTAACAGGGAAATAAATACACACAAAAAAAACCAAACAGCTTATTTTCAGATTTTAATTTTTTTTACAAGATTTCACAAGATCTCTGTAATGGTGGGTTGAATGGTCAGCGTAAGATCGGTCTGAAAGTCTGTGTCCAGACAATTTCTAGTGTGGCTCACTATCACTATATCCATAATTGATACTAACAGAGAACCTCATTAGCTGTCTCCAAAGATAGAGGCCAATGAGAAAACTGAATGGACATGGGGGATAAACAGCTGTCCAAATAATGATGCATCTTGCTCAGGCATCAGGTGTTAAGCTGGTCACCAGGTCTGGGGACAAGAATTTTATTCAGAGCAGACTGACAAGGAAGTCTTTTAAGGTTTTGGTCTTTATCAATAGCATGAGGGATTTTCACTTTGTAGGACCTTCTAGACTTCTTTAGGGGACAAATTCTTCTGATCCTTTAGAGTCTGAACACACTGGTAATGCCTCAGTCTCTTCTACTCTTTTCCTTGTGGTGTGGTTTCTTTTGTGGTTCTTGCTTTTGTATTACGGACTTTAATGTTATTACAAGCTTAGAGGAAGTGCTCTGTGGCTCCTGGGATACACAGAAAGTAGCCTTTCTGTTAACTTACCTGTACAAAACATGTGCCAGTGGTCTGCCTGCTGATTCAGAGGTCTAAATTTGATGTTGGAGGTGATGTCTTCAAGATGCCTATTCCATCTAGATGGCCCTTCCAGTTTATGCATTAGTCAGCTTAATGAGCAGCTCCCATGCTCCAAATCTGCTCTGTCCAGCCAGTGAAAAAAAAACTAGGTAGTCTCCAGAGCCATCAATACAACATAAGCTTAATATTGCTGTTAAAATAAACAATGCAAGAAGAGATTTCTCAGTCTGACTGCAGCTGCTGCTGCTTCCACCATCTTCTTTTTCTCTCCAGGGAATCAAACTTCACACTGCAGATGTTTTCACAGTACATCCTCCTGCCCGGCTGCCTGATATATTAACAACAGCCTCAAAACAACACAGGTTTTCCATCTACCTCGTTCTCTAGCTGATTGTAATCGTTGGTCCTTGCAGATTTTAGCCATTTCACTCCTGAAATTTGTCATCTTATTTTAGACATTTTTTTCACCTAAAGCTACCTACTGTCATTGCCACATACACAATTCCAGAGCAAATAGTAAAGAGCAGTGCTGGGGACAAATAGTGTAAACAATATGTTACTTAGACCATGCCCTAAACTAGTTCAGGAATTACGAAGAGAAATGCTGTCCCCATATGAGTTAAGATAGTAATCCAATGTAATGGATTACTATTAGCTGTAATAGAGACAGATTTTTCAGCCGTGGTTACTAAAGCTCTGAGTAAAGCACTGTATACTGAAAGCTCCCTCTATGGCTACTGCCAGAGGATCTGAATCCATCAGAGAGGTATTTGGATGGAAATATGGAGGCAAAAGTAGATGCATATTTATACATATGCTCATACACCCCCTCCTTCATCCATTCTCCTTCTCCAATTCATCAATATACCTGACCCACTTTCTAAATCTCTGTTGTTGCAGATGTTGCTGATGTAAAGCATGTTTCAGCTCATTGGGAAGATACAGTCATCAGAAAAATAATGC